CAATATGGTACGAATCTGGACCATAGGCAATTCAATCAAAACAAGTGTGGAATAATAATCATGACTTTGGGATAGGGGGTTTTGGCCGCACCACTAGACAAATGACTATATCTCTGTCTGGAGAAGGTGGCTTAGGAAAACCCTCAAAACTTAAGGATTCATTGTTCTACTTTCTATTTCCTAATGCAAAAAAAACTGTTTTTCCCTCGCGAAAACAACCTGGAAAACTGATATATAATGACTAGGTCAACAGAAGTCTTCTCCCTCTTTTGACAGTTCGTCAACAATCCCAGCTGTCCGAACTGCCCACACATAAGCTACGCCTAGCACTGATTGACAAATTCTGTTGGTTTAACTGCAATGTGACTCTCCGCTCAGCTCAGCGTGGACGCACGAAATCCCCCAACTTCGAACACGAGTTCAAGATTGAAGTAATTGTCGTGCAAGTCTAACACCTTTACTGAGATTCAAATCTTACAAACCTCACGGCACTAAGTATATGAATTTGGCCTTAATAAATCTTCTTTCGCTATAAGTTCGGATCTCTTCTGGCAGTGATTAGAAAGGCCGGGGAGAGAAGTAATCAGTTCTGTTTTTTCCTCCCGTCGTGACAGTGATTTTCCACTGGTGAAGCTCTGACCGTAATGAACACTTGGAACCAACCTCACTAACAAACAGCACCCAGTATGTGCAAAATCGACGACCCCATTAAAACTTGAAAGTTGTTGTTTGGAACGACAAATGGGCATTAATCATGGCAAGTTGCTGTGTACCAATACACCACACAACTCCAAGATTATTTTGCTGATGTGCAATTTGCGTCTTAACAGGTGAAAAGTGCACCAAACTATAAGGTACTGTAGCAGTTCATCCTTTCCCATTTCGTTTTGGCACCTCGAGTTAAAATCGGACATAAGACGCTAAGTTGTGCGTAGTGTGTACGATCTGGAAAACAGTTCGGTTCAAATTTGTAGTGTAAGTAGAAAACATGTCCCTTAAACTCAATACCGTTGGAACATGCAAAGTGCCGTTTCCGTGAATTGGAGAGTGGGGTTTTATGATTGGGGTGTTTCATTCCGATAGTTCATTTATATCAAAACTCATTGTCCTATGTCAATGCCTTGGTAAGAATTCCAAAGCGATCCTGTTATTGTATTATTTAAAAACTTCCAAGCAAATGATTCTTAAGATGGAGATTGCAGAGTGGAAGTTCACCAGGATTCCCCATACGGCACTGCTCCAAAGTAGAGGGCGACGAATGTATGTAGCCAAAGCATTGCTTGGTACTTGTGGTCCTCCGATAGGCCCAACTGTTTTCGCGGCGAAAAATATACCATAAAACTGCTCATAGGATTATCAAGCTCATTTGGCGACCGCCCACTCGTAGTGCTCATGTTCATGATCTTATTTTTTAAGTTATCGTTACATTCAGATTAGGGCTCACTTGTAAGCTTCTGATTCGCTCGTCATCAGTGACCATTTGGGATACAAGATATGTTCAAAATTGAAAAACCCTTGGTTTGCAGGGAACAACAGGACGACTGTCGCTTACGCAGATTGCACAACAGAAACAACCCGACTTCCCTGAATCACGCAAGCACGTGAAGCGAGAAAAGCAACTAAGTGCGGTAACGTGGGAAAACTGTTTATCAGTAAATCACTGAGCAGCGTCCAATAGGGTATCGACCAACTGGATGACAACTTGCACAGAAGTGGTGCGCAAAGAATCACAAGTGCCGTCCGTATCAAGCACGCATATAATATATATGAACATATATATGAACATCTGGTGCGGATGCTCATAGGAAGCTTTCAGTTTGCACGAAGATCGTGTTTCAACGAACCCTCTAAATCGCTAGCAATCGAACATTTGCACTGATCACAAAGCAATTAGCTATAGATGTTAATCGTGCGTTTGAGATTATCTACCCTAATCGAACACGTGTCGAATCGAATCATGCCCTGGTTCGTATCCAGGACGACACTGTCATTGAACAAGGTCTCTGAGGCGAAACTTAACTGACCATAAGAACTAGTGACCAAAGGCATTCGAGAAATGAAAAAACGGCGGCCAACTGTTCCAACTTGTCCCCATCCCTGAGCCAAAGAAGCCGCGTCATTTGAGGTGCGGTGGAAAAAAGATGACCCAACAGATCATTGTCACCTCGCCTTTGATTGATGGAGTAGTTCGAAAAACTCAAATGGTCTGCGGTGCCGCCTAACGGTCAACATACCACCCGCTTTCCAATGGGATGAGAACTGCCCAATTCCAGCAGTGCGCAACTACAACTATGATTGCGCGAACCATTCATGTGCTGTATGTAAATTTCAAGCAAAAATGAATGTGGTTCAGATGTAGTCCGTTGATTACTCAAACAGCCGGCAGTGATCATCCACTTCCACCGACCCCAAGACACTCCAGTGATTAAGGCGCGAAGTTACTGACCGGAAAATTCCGCGGTTCGAACCCAACAACAGCATCTCGACCGCTCCTGTCCAGGCTTTGGCAACTTGGCAAACCCTCGGCTCTTATGCTTCCTTCGGGTGACTTGCCAACTAGGCAGCGAGAGTTACGGCCGAACCATTACTATTATTTTTAGTAGCCGCCTCTAGCGTTGGTTCACCCTTATTCTTTCGGCCATTTCATGGACTTCTGTATCATTCGGGGCGGGCTCTGGTACCCTGCCCCATCAATCATCCGAACAGTTTACCCATCAATTGCAGGTCATTTTATGCCAATACCAAAACTTGTTCGTATTCTGTTCCAGACTTAAAGCAACCTGTCCGCCGAATGTTGACAGGACGTCTGTTGTAAAGACCCCGCTTTGTTAAGGAATCAGCCCCGCCAGGTTCCTCCAGTTAGATCCTCGTACGTTCACGGACAACAAGCTACCTAGTTAGGTGAGAGCTGCGCCCGTGCGTCGACTCATCTGATTTGCAGCTATGAGCAAAAGCAGTAAGGCGCACTGGTTTGCCTGCTATCGACTACCTGAAAGGTTATGTGAATTTGTACCACGCCCAGCATGTCGGCCATACTGACTTTTGAAGCGTAAGCCTACGTGTCGTGAGACGGTACACTTAATTGGTAAAATGGTCCTGCATACTACTCCAGCTCGAGTTCAATCAAACATAGAGGGCACTGGAGCACTCTCGCATGCAAACATTCAAAGCATGCCCTGATTCTAGCGTTCCACACTTTCATCAACTGATGCCTTGCCGAAGCGCAATGTTTAGTGATCCGACCCCAATTTCAAGTGGCAGAAATGTGGCACAAAATAGTATAAACATGGATCGTGTCTAGGCTTGGGCAACCTAGCAGTATCCCAGCCCTCGTTTCTCCTTCGGGTGGCATAGCAGCTGGGCGTCGAAAGGATGCCAAAGCTGGACGATTGTTTTTATGGATTGTTAGGAAGACTACCTCTAAACGAACAAATTCACTTTACAAACGATTTGTCTTGTAAACTGAAACCTTGTTTCTGCATTTCGTCCTTTCACTGACATCCTATTGAACTGTTAGCTTTCCTTATATTCTGGTTCATATCGTGGAACGACCCACTTGTTTGCAGTAGAACTTCCTCGATGTTGTTTGTCTTCTCCATTCCGGTGAACTGACGAGTCTAACTGCCACATTACCACGGAAAAAATTCGTTGATTGGACTTTCAAGGATTACGGATCCCACGCTCAAACACAGGTGGCTGGGCTTTCCTAAACTCCATACTGCTTTACAGCGACGATAGCCTTAGCAGGCGGGACTAAAACGGTGCAATCGTAGATCACAAGGACTAACAAAAGTAGATGACAGTGTTCGCTAACATCATTGGATACTTCACTGTTCCAGCGTAGATGGCGGGCTTATACAGTATGCCCCATGGTGCGTAATTCAGAGGTCAGTCTGAACTGCAGAACTTCAGTTGAGATCAATGCGAAATCCATGTGTCGTTTGAATCCCCATCAACACATTTAGTCCATTCGTTGGTTTGCAAATCCGAGCGGTATGTGTGCGTTCACAAGGAGTGATCTCGGGAGACCTCCAAATAACGGCAAATGACGAAAAGTCATAAAGATTTGCCGCATTCTTGGCAGTACTGTGTTAGTTCCTTTGTCGTCCGACCGATGACAATCGGTTTCAGGTTGGCTTGGATGTCAAGCAGCACCCACTGAGCAAAGCTTCAGGGAGAACTTAAGCGATAGGGTTGAATGCGTTTCAGTTAGGCTAGCCATCACAGAATGATCGATGGGCTATAATATCATGGATCACCGTCGCTAGACGGTCCTTTTTGTGAGCCAGCCCATTCGACGCATCGCTGTGGACAAAACACAAACGTCTGGTCATGACGATGCGACCTACCAATAATCTACCAACAGTCTGTGGGTGAACTGACTTTCGACGGCTGTAGAGACAGAACACCCTATGCCAATGACGTAACGAACCATCAGCGATCAACAACCGGAAAGGAAAGCACCACCACCTGGATCCAAATAAGGATCTCTTACAGACCTACTTACTGTTCCAAGGCGAATCTTCAAGCTACCAAACATAGTCCGATCAACAAGGTAGGAAACTGGGGGGTCGATTGATGCAGCGTGTTCGTCTGAGACGCATAAGGTTTGTGGTGCCTTCAAACAGACAATTCGTCCAACTATACATCTAAGGTATGCTGGTATCGGCTAACTCTGCAAGCTGATGTCATTGTTTGAAGTGTGGTTTAGCCTGCCTGTCCAAGTGCACACTATGAGAGCCCATCATCGAATAGTTACTTGACTTGCTGGTGGAAAGGGTAGGGAGAACCTTCACGAGAACGCGCGCACGCCAAACGTTACCAAAGTCGATAGTGATGCAAGAGGAACATTTTACACCAAAGCTAGACATTCTGTTTTGAATAAATCACTATTACGGGTACCAAGAACGTGACAACTGTGAGATGATAGGAATTTATTTCGAAATAACGTACTTACATGGCGATGTGTAAAAACTATGTATGACATTTACCCATCATCACTATTGTTTCTGCTGAGAAGATTGATCAGAGCTGGATCCTGAGGCAGACCCTGAACTCGAGTCATTGGCCATCTGACAAACGTAAAGAGCTATTAAAACCAACAGATCAACCTTACCTTCCGGTATGCAATCTCAAATAATTTCAGAGAAGCCTGTTGTAGCTCATTTGTGGCTGCTCGTATGGTATCGGCTGTCTCATTTTCCTTGTTGCTGAGCCGCTGTCGCAACTCCTGGATTTGTGTCCCCAGCTTCTCCCGCTACAATGAAGGCAGTAAAAATGGAAGTCAGTCCAGGTAAATGAACCTCACTTCTCAAGCGACAACGCTGTTGGTACAAAAACTACAATGAAACGAAAAACCAGTTCGATAAGTCCCAAATGACAGAAAGCAAGTGCGTCCAATAAATCTGGCTGGTTGGATGGGAGAATAGTTCGAAAAGCCGCGAGATCGCATGATTTAGATCTGAATGTCATAGTTAAAGTAATGCCAGGTTGGTAATGCGATCCCTAACGTTCCTGAATCACCATTTATATGCCCACCAGCGTCGTTCTAAGTGCCACGGAAGTGTCACGCACCGACTACGCAACAAGAGAAGTCGTATCCTGATCAATCAGCCGGGCAGAGTCGAGATAGATAGGTGCTTCGCGCACCATAAGGGAGATTCTAGCATAACAATGTGGAGTTCCGTGAACACTCTGGAAATACCGTTGTAGCAATCCTCGCTCGTGTCCTTTCGGGTATGACCTGCGATTGGCCTTAATCCACTGGAACCCGAATGCGTACGAACAATCTAGGAAAACCGGAACACAAAGATCTCTCCATCTTTGAGAAAATCTGAGGAAACACATCCGGAACAGCAACCCGACGGCGTATCAGGGCAGAAACTGAAGGCGGTCCATACTCTCAAACCACAACCCGAAACAGTCGGTTGTGAAATATACGCACGGGAACAGGACCAACTAAACTGTTGTTGAAAATATTTAGCCCCGATCTAGATACTGGTTATTATATACTACGATTCTAACACTCTTTGATCAGCTAACTTACGATAGGATATCTGAGAATTAGCTTCCCTACATTTCTAACCACTTTTCTCTCTCATTCTTCGAGCTTTCTGGTTCCGCCATGCCCCTCTGTCCTTACATAGGCTAAGTGGGAGCTATTGTTCAAGCTGACCGGCTGAGGGAGCAAAGCACTTTGCACTGAGCGGTAGAGTTCAGACCCAGTGGTTTCCGCGAACGCCCTCATAAGAATCCTACCTTTGCACCCAATTTTCTCGCTATTATGGCTGCCGTTGTTACTATGTTAAGTAACCCATTTATCAGCCATAAACCGTGTACCATAGCGCAATGGTTCAAGTTGCTACAGTTTCGATCACTAGAAAGTGGGATAGTGTGAGTCATACAGTCAACCATTGCAGGTGTAGTATGTCTGGTTAGTCCGGGAACCGGGCAACTACGCATTGGGAATTTCACTCGGTCGCTTGTTGACCAACTCGTCCAAGGATTTTCCTGCTCAAAATTGCAAAAACAGGGGAAGCTTGAATAGTGGACAAAAAGCGAACCCTCAATACCAAATTTATCGGATAGCCGCTGACGTTCACCTAGGAAACGGACAAGAACTTACACAGAACCAAGTTGGGGTTGATGGTGTTTCCAAATAGCTGTCCTCAAGCTAGACCCAAAATTTCTATCGTCTGGTTGTTCCTTGCTCTCCAATATTAGCTAACTGAAGAATAACCTAGCATGATAGGCACAAGATGTAAAACGCTTGTGGAGATCAAGGAATATTGCTTCTAAGATTCAGCCTGGGTTGTGACCACTGAAACGGTTCAATATGTCTATAAAATACCACGGCGAGTCATCGAAGATTGTGATAGCACGTTAAGAGCAAGATATCTAACAGTGGGAAAGATTCACTTACTTCGTCCGCAGGGAGTTGGTCCTTGTACTCATTTATCTTAGCCTCAGTATCATGAACGACACCTTCAGCCTGGTTTATAGCTTCAACCAAATCACGTCTCTTTTTGTCGGTCTCCGCGTATTGTTCCGCATTTCGCACCATATTCTCTATTTCATCTTTACTCAGACCACCGCTGGAACGAATGACGATCTGTTGTTCCTTTCCAGTACCTTTATCGCGGGCCGAGACATTTACGATTCCATTCGCATCTATGTCGAATGTAACCTCTATCTGCGGAACGCCTCGAGGAGCGGGAGGGATTCCAACCTGCAAAGTAAAAGGTTTAACATGCGAGTTGGGAGATAACTGATAATAATACATGCACGACATGGGATAACACCGACTACTCAGAGGACAGGTTGCGTACCCATACAACAATGTTGACTTGTTGTGCCTCGATAAATTGCCAGTAAATCGCGAGAGACCTGAGACCCGAGAATTCGTGTGGGTTGGCTCTTAGTTTCCCTTTGACAGCTTGTTTTTTGAGATCAAATCCCTGTCCTGTATCATAACTTCATGCCTAAAAAGCAACAAGCAAAGCTACTTGGAAAAGCTAGATGGGATTAAGTTTGCTGAAGTCAAAAAGTACGATCGACTGGATCAGCATACGAGAACATATGCAGGATCAAAAGGTTATCAGTTCCCAAAACATGCGCGCCCACGGATAAATCCATCATTATAACCGGTCCCAAAATGATTTGGATTCATTGTATTTGTTTCCTATCTTTTCACAAATAAGCTAGTATCGCATAATAAACACGCCCTCATCAAAGGATTCTGTTTTTTAACAATCATGTAAAAGAAGTGAAACTGCTTGCGGAAGTGCTTCTTTCGAAACCTATTGCACCAAAACCTGCTCGTTAGCACTCATTAAGCAGGCCATATATCCACAACAATTATTCCAAACATCCGAGTGGAAAATCGGCACAGCATCGGCCGCATTGACAGAACAACATCCATTACTCTTCTAGATCGACATTCCATTCAGTTCTGGTGGGATATTCAGCTAAGCTGAGGTATCCTTATCATACTCGTTATTTTCATTAGCTACAATAACCACCATATTTTCCGAAGTGAAACTTAGTTGTCGTCCTCATTCTCAGCATCCTCATCATCATTATCGTCGTAGTCATCCTCACCCCCGCCAGTATTATTATTATTATTATTGTCGTTATTATTATCAGCTGTAAGAACCGCGTACTCGTTTTTCAGTAGTTTCAGCCACCACAGTTTCGTTCACCGGTGATTTGGGGAGGTGGGGGAGGTAGTTGTGCATTGGAGGCGGGAGCTGATAAATTGGTGCGTAAATAAAGTACTGTCAGCGGACGGTTAAGTGGGGGGATTGGGCAGGAACCTATGCACTGAAGGTAATAGCTTGGATGCATGAGTGCCAATGGGGTCGCAACAATGATGTTGCTGGCCTCGGGGTCCCCATCCAGGAAGACAACGATGGTCAACGAAGCTGGATTACCTGGATATACCTTTCATACTTCGCTGCCGTCATTGCTTGGCTGCCTCTGGCTAGTTTCCACCCTTCACGTGGTTGCCCGAAAAGAACCCTTCGAGGAAGTCGGTCGACTGGCACACGCAGCACGTGGCCAAGCCAGCGCAACCCAGGCAGTGTGATCAGTTCATCTATCGAGGGTGAGTCACTTTCGGATGCCATTCGACGTACTTCAGCATTGCTGATCCGGTGTTCCCACAAGATTCGGGCAATGCTTCGAAGGCATCGATGATCAAACACTGAGTCTTGACATCCTTGGCGCGCAGCGGCCACGTTTTTGATTAGTATAGTAATATGGAGCGCACCGCAGGATTGTAGACTAGACCCTTGATGGATAAGCTGATGTCACGCCTACGTCACAGGTGACGCAAGTTAACTAAAGCTGCTTTGTCCCTCCCAATCCGGATAGAAATATCATTTTTCGCGAGACCACTGGAACTGATACAGCTGCCCAGGTAAACAAATTTGTCTACTACCTCAATCGGTTCATCCGCAGGCATGAAGCTAGGGTTCGAGCTCACGCAGTCTTGCAGTGGCACTTTAAACTTTGCAGGTGTGAAGCCCATGCCGGACCGTGAGGTAGAATTAATTAGATTTGATGTTGTTTGCACTACCACGGGGTCAGACACCATCGCCTGCGCAGTTGTCATTTGTGAGCGGACGCCCCAGGAGCACTTCGATCCCAGATATAAGAGGCTGATTGTGAGTCATCCATGATCGCATTAATGACCAAGTTGAAGAGGAAAGGTGAAAGAGAACAGCCCTGTCTGACACCACTTGTGCTGAACGCAGACGAGCTTTCCGTAGACCTTTACACGGCCGCGGGAGTTGGCCTACAGCGTCTTAATGGGCGTCAGGAATTTATGGGGGATACCTTTGCTCTACAAAATACGCCATAGTGCCTGACGGTCTACGGAGTCAAAGGTAGCTTTCATCAATCATTGTTGGTTGCTGGAAGCGGTGTCGCTGTTCGAGAATCTGCCGGAGGGTGAAGATATGATCGATGCATCCTCTTACAGAACAGAACACAGCTTGGTTTTCACGGACCTGTCTCTCTCTGTGTTCAGTCAACCTTCAAAGGATGGGGCCAGATAGCACCTTCAATGTCACCGTGGCTTTCACACAACGTTCACGTACCCTTTTTGAAGATGGGGATAACTGTAGACGTGCCCCGTTCAGTAGGCACTTTCTCCTCGTTCCATATAGCACCAATAAGCTTTGTCAGATGAGTCATCAGGGATTCTCCGCCTCCTTTGAACAGGGGTGGGTACAGACCGTCCGATCCTGGTGCTTTCTCACGTTTCAGTAAGGATATCTCGTACCTTATTTCTCCATTCGCCCGTAAGCATTATCTCCAAAGGCTGTGTTGTAGGAGACCAGCTGAACTGTTCTGCGAAGTGTCCGATGTTTTTACGAGTGAAGTAATGAGCCATCTTTTTCACTTATCGTTTCGCTGACTGCTGCTTTCTTATGGCCAGTCGATCGTAACAGTTGATATAGGGCACGACTGTTTACCGTGGCAAAAGCCTTCTCTGTCTCCCGAGCTTCCGATGTCCACCAGAGCTCTCGGTCTTTCCTTAGACTCCTCAGTATTTGGTGTTTGAGGGATTTGTGTGCGCGGTCGTACTCGTTGCCGCTAGTATGGCTTTCCTGGCATCAATCACGGGTCACGATCTCAACTACATCCAGTGGTCCTGTGGTCGAATCGGAAAAGTCGGACAGACAGCACTGAACGCCGCTAACATGGGTCTTTTCACCTTTTGCCACGCTTCATCCGCATGGTCACTACCAAGGGTCATCGCCTGTGGATCACTGAACACACGGAGAGATAAATGTGATAGACCTGAATTCGTCCTTGGCGTTCTGAGATGCATACCCACGCTCGAGTCTTGTATGCGTATTTCGGGGACACGGCATGCATCAACTTTTAGGGAGTGTAAGGTTTCAGCAAGTGTTGCATGATTGACATTGAAAGCACCTACAGAGAAAGGATTTCATGGATTTAAAAAGGTAATATTTCGTGTATTGTTAATAAGCAGCGAGGAGCATAAGACCCTTCAGTCAGATAACCGACAGTCAAATGATCAGGGACGTTTGCTTGGGTAGTGGAAAGGGGTTGGGGAGGGACAATGGTAGACACTGAACTGCGCGGGCAAATGATACTTCCTGTTTGCTCAGGCCGAGGAAAGGGGTTTGGTTAAGGCATCCCACCTTGAGCTTTTGACTCACGAGCAACCGCCTCGTGGTACCAGATACTCGAAGAGTGAAATGTGGAACATCTGACATCGTCCTAAACACCTTGAGGTGCAAGAGAGAAGTGGGGTATTGTATCCGTATTTGAGACAATATACATCAACAGCTAAGAAAAGCAAGCTTTCAGAGACAGAGAGTAAAGGCTGCAGCGTGGATCAGATCGCTTGGGGTTAGTAGGCTGTTATTTTTGTTTATTTTTCTGGGCGATGTTCTAGGCAGGGAACAATGACTAGGGGAGTGGACATGGGTTGACCACACTGTCTATTCGACAGTTGGGCAAGGGGTGTGAGGGAAGACCGGGGGGAGAACTGGAAGGGTCAATGATACTCCAAAGGGGATTTGATTGAGGTACCCCGCTTCGAGCTTTTGACTCAAAAGTGGGACCCGGGAGGCAGAAGGACATAGGGTTTTGTTTGGGGACCCTGCTCCTAGCCTCTGGCTTAAGAGTTGGGACCGCGAGGCGGCGGTTGCTAGGGTCTTCTTGAAGGATACTCCCCGGAGCCAATGACTCAATGGTCTGAACCACTCGCCTACAAGGGGCGGCCCGATCAGAGAGCGCAGGGAGCAAGGCAGTACTCAGCAGGTCGTTCAGCAGCGAGGAGCATAAGACCCTTCAGTCAGATAACCGACAGTCAAATGATCAGGGACGTTTGCTTGGGTAGTGGAAAGGGGTTGGGGAGGGACAATGGTAGACACTGAACTGCGCGGGCAAATGATACTTCCTCGCCAAGTAAGGCATTACTGTCATCATCATCATCATCATCATCATCATCATCATCGACAGCATGACATCAGTGTTCAAGATCGATGCTTCACTGCCGTAAGGCATTACTGTTTCACTATTGATGCGGCTGCGCATGATAGGTATCGTTTTAAGAAGCACTAAGCTATATTTTTTCAAGTATTTCGACCGTGGTAAATAATGCACCGGTGTTCACAGTCAACCGTTGTGTGATCGGAGTATGCAGGTTTTAGGACGGACCTTTTTCGGGGGGAGGCAGCATCGCTGCCTCCATAAGTATGGACATGCTGGTCGCCTGGGGGGAAAACCTTACTGCCTTCATACTCCTATCGCAGAGGACGGTACAACTTTACCCTCAGACCGCCTCACGGCATGATTACTCGCGTAGTTCGGGGCCTTGTCAATCTTGGTTTTACTGCTCCCCTTCGGCCTTCCTGAAATGGTTGCACCTTGTGGAATGAAGTTCTAGCCAGCATAGTCTGCGGGAGCATTGCAACACTCAAAAACGACCACCGCGTCAAAATGGCAGTCTTGGGTCGGGAGTATAAGCGCTTGCAATCCAACTGTAGAATTTTCGCAGTGTCCATCCATACACCGGCTCAACTCTCCAGCTACACGACATAATTCTGTTTCATTCAAGCTAAACCCGGTGCAACGCCGAAAATGTGCGGAGCCGTGTCCCAGTTACAACAGACCGACGATGCTGTGGAGAGGATGTAGGATTTTTTTTTAGCTATAAAGGAGCTTCGAAGCACGATGACTGGGAATTCCTAGCAGTTTTAACTGCTAGGTTGCTCAAGTCTAGACGGGTGGAGTCGAGAGGCAGAGCTCGGGTTCGAAACACGGAGCTTCCAATCAGTAAATTCGCGCTCTAACTACTGAGCCATCTCGCCCTCTAGAGTAGTGCTTACCTTTGCCGCGAAAATAGTCCCACACTGTACGCCCGTAATGAGTGAAGCCGGATATGGAACAATTGTCAGTGCAGTGGGTCAAAATTATGAACAGTCGACTAACATTTTGCACCGCAAGGATGGGCGGTACCCGTCTGGAGGTTGACATGGAAAACATTAGTAACAAAACTACCTTAGACTGGAGAATTCAAGAAGACTGTATAAGCAGTTACGAGCAAAATTACCAGGGAAAATTGACCCAAAAGCTTGTTGTCCGAAGCCATTTCTCTTTCACCCTGGTAAACTTTGATTTCGACTTGAGTTTGGCCGTCGGCGGCTGTGGAGAACACTTGCGACTTTTTCGTTGGGATCGTGGTATTCCGATTGATTAGTTTGGTCATAACCCCTCCAAGCGTCTCGATGCCCAGTGACAGCGGAGTAACGTCTAGCAATAATACGTCCGTCACATCACCTGCGAGCACACCACCCTGGAGAACCGTGTTGGGAATAACAACAAATTACCTGAATGGCAGCACCCATAGCGACGGCTTCATCTGGGTTCACACTCTTGCTGGGAGTCTTACCAAAAAGTTTCTCAACAGTTTCTTGCACCTGATTGGAAGAATGTCATGCAATAAGGCAAGCAAACCTTCGGCATACGGGTCATGCCACCAACCAATATTACATCTCCGAGGTCGGAAGCTTTTATGTCGGCATCTTTCAAGGCCTTTTCGCAAGGCCCAATAGTCCTTTTGATCAGCGGATCTACCAAAGACTCGAACTTTGCACGGGTTAGTTTCATATGCATATGCTTGGGCCCAGAACTGTCCATTGTAAGATAGGGCAAGTTAATATCTGTTTGCAGGGAAGAGGAAAGTTCAATCTTAGCCTTTTCTGCAGCCTCTTTGACTCTTTGTACGGCCATCGGGTCTTTCGTGACATCGATACCTTGCTACAAAACTGAAATCATGATTTAAGGCGATACCTCACGCTTGAATTCTGTGACGAGGTACCTCAGCAGTTCGTTGTCAAAGTCTTCCCCTCCGAGGAATGTATCACCGTTCGTTGACTTTACCTCAAAAACTCCCTTCTGGATCTCCAGGACAGATATGTCAAACGTACCGCCACCCAAATCGTAAACGGCTATCCTATAAAGTAAGAGTAAAATTAAAAACCGGACACTTCTAACTAACGTTTTATCCCCAACACGGTCTAATCCGTAGGCGAGGGCCGCAGCAGTTGGCTCATTAATTACCCGAAGCACCTCCATGCCGGCTATCTTGCCAGCATCTTTTGTGGCCTGAAGACGTTACTTAAGAAAAGAAATCTTACCTGACGTTGAGAGTCATTGAAATAGGCGGGAACAGTGATAACCACATTCTTTACCTTCGTCCCCAGATAATTTTCTGGCAATCTATAAATGGTTCTACAAACAAAGCTCACCTGCCGTCTCTTTCATCTTCATGAGAACAAACGCTCCTATTTGGCTAGGAGAGTAGGCCTTTCCATGAGCCTCAACCCATGCATCACCGTTTGATGCTTTGATGATCTTGAAGGAACAGTTCTTCATGTCCTTTTGCACTTCCGGGTCATCAAAACGACGTCCTATGAGGCGCTTAGTCGCGGAGAATGTGTTGGCAGAGTTAGTGACCGCCTGACGCTTCGCAGGAGCCCCAACCAGCCTCTCACCATCCCTGGTGAATGCCACAACTGATGGGGTAGTTCGAGATCCCTCCGAATTCTCAAGTATTTTTGGCTGTTTGCCTTCCATTACGGCCACACAGGAATTGGTCGTACCCAAATCAATCCCAATAACATGCCCCTTGGGGCCCGAGGACATGCACGCCAATGGTTGTCGCAGGCGCGACATCTAGAATGTCCTCGTAATGGTAAAAATTCACTTACGAAGCGCGTTTTCTCGAGAGCCAGCATGACCTTAGACATCACGGGGGGACGGCGAATTACGCGGTGCTTTAGTCAGCTTTGGTACGTTTAAACAATAAGCACGAGTGAGGTCAAAATTGTCACAGACCTCACTGGTTTCTTCCGAGTCAAGGCGAAGTAGAAGTGCGAAATGGATCACTATACTCGGTTGGTAAATTGAGGGTGCGAAAAACCCCAGAAGAATTTCATGGGTTTATGGGTTCTCCGGGTTTCGCAGTTTACATGAGAACTCAGTGAGGCCAAGCCCCTTGGTGACCCAATCGGATGGCTGGAATTCATTAAATTCACTTAGGCGACCACAGGGCGTTGAGGTCGTTCACACCTTAGAAGTCAACTTATTCCTGAGAGGGAAGGCTCATCAATCAGAAAAGAAATGATCGAAAATGGCCCGTGTTGCTGCCTTTTTCGGTCGTATTTTTTAGGTTGTACAGCATGAAAAGGGGGTTGAGTGTTTTCAACACAAAGTAAACCGAGGTACATGAAGATAAACAGCGATTGCATATATGGGAACGGAAGAGGAAATCCGTTTACTTTCTTCTACCTTTTCCTCTTAAAGTTTTGCTTCCGTTTTTTTCGTTTTAATTCTGTTGTTTTATTTTCTTTCGCCTTTCCATTTTTCATCTAGCTTTGTACAGGAAAACCAGAAAGGTAAACAAAGTAGTGGGGACCAACCCAGGTTGACACACTGAGGGTTCGTTTCTCGTTTCGGCGGTCACTAGCCAGCTCTATATTTTATACTTTTTGATAGCTCGGTATAGGATTAATAGTATTTAAGCTCGTTACCGTAGTCCTTTGGTCCTTCTTGATCTTTATATATTGAAACCAGAGAGAGCTCTCTGCTGATTTCAGCTGCGTGTTCTTTCATCCACATACGTTGCTTCTTCTCGCCCAGCATGTTGACTGCGGCAGTTCATGAAGGCATATCGGCCCCAGCATTCTGATCGGTCCTCATATTTGGTCTTCACATTAGCTAACTTAAGGGAGCCGGTGGTTTGTGGGCTGTCAGGATCCATTTTGGTTCATGAGCCGCCTAGTGCGTTCATATACGTTTCGGCTGTACGCTCAGATAATCCGCTTACCTGTCTCCACGTTTTGTTGCCGTTTTGTGATCAGAATTCCTTATTCATTCTACTTCCAACGAAATTTCGTAGGTATACATTATCTCGAATTGCATTGTATTGGTAAACTGGGATGAACAACTGGCTCATCATTACTGCCAAGTTTGCAATCACTCTGGCAACACTGAGCTACAGCCCCTCTCACGATTCACTGATGATTGTTATTGTATTTCAATATCCGGTTCTCATTTTTTCTTCCGGTGCACAAATGTTTGAAGCCGTCCATTTACAGCCAGTCCATGCAGTACGCGCAAGAATGACGGTTAGTCTTTCTTCTCAGGTTACTAAGCCTGATATCCTTGACTCTGCTTTACCATAAACAGTTCTTGATGACAAATTTAAGCAGCTGACCTTGAATCTTAGTTTGATTATTGCTGGGACAGTGTGCTCTGGTTCTGAATTGCCAACATAAATTGGTTGCCATATTTTTGCTCACATCAACAGTTGGTTAGTTTTTAAATTGAGTTTCAGGCGTGTATTTAGGCAGAAGACTAAGGGCTTGTACATGCTTCCCGGTCTTCAGGCACCCAATGTTTCTCAAGTATTTTGAAGTACTCCGTTTACAGTTTCTCCGTTATGCATATAGTCGACTAACTGGGATGGAACAGTAGCGAAAAACGCGAGGGTGCTTACGTGACAAAGTAATTTGATACAGTAAACTGAGTAAATTCACCGGTACTTTCGTTAGAGAGAAGCCATAAGTAGAGGTCCTTTTGGCAACTGAGTTTTTGCTAGCGCGGAAAACCAAGCAGATGAAAGAGGTCTTGGATGTATCTAATGAAAATGGGAGTTTTCGATACATGCCTGTTTCCGATGGTGACCATGGAGGTTAGTTAATGAGGCTGATGATGGCGGTGAGTGAATGTGATTGCATGTAGCAATGATCCAGCAAGGCTGTCGTAACTTCCTATTGAATGGAGGGTGTACGTTTATGGTGCTTCTGTACCCTCCGTTGTGGTTTGTTCAGATTTATCAGGCACCACTGCTGACAACAAGCCTAACCTTCCTACTGGTATTCATCGTGAAAGTAAAGTGGGTGATCTAAAGGAACTGCATAAGGGCCTTGCTCGCTTGCTTAGGGATCCGAGCGATCTAAAATACAAAGCGAAGTTCGTAAAATCCTTGCGAGGACGAGTGTTGGTTCTTTTCTTGGGCAAGCAGTTAGTATGTGGCATAATTTAGGGAAACGGTGTTGATGGTCCAGTTATTGCCTCAGGGAGGAGGCGCGCACTTCAACAGTAAAGAGCTGGCGTTTCTCAAACGACCGTAGTCAGATTACCCTTGGTTCTCCTTCAAGCTCAAAATGACCTTGAGTAACATCGTTGCCCCCTAGAATCTTAGCGTATCGTTCAAATACATCTCATGGCGATCGCAGGCTATGGCACCAGTTTGAAAGCAGTTTGTCCTTACGGTGCACCACGTGAACGGACTTGCAGCCTAAAATTGCTCCACCTGTTACATTTTTTACTGTTTCCCTGCTTGGGCAGTTTTCTACATACCGGGCCAGTCCCGAACCGTGTAACTGGCAGGCTTTTCAGCTTAAAAAGCGCCCGTGTGTAGTGGCGCAGTATAATTGTATATACCCTCCTTGCGCTGATCTCCGAGCCTTTGATCGAGCCGTTTAAGATAAAACAATTTACAACGCAATGGTGTGCCCTGTAGATAGCGGACAAATAAGGTAAGTGTACCCTAAGGCAGTGCAACCGCCCTCGTTATCTTCGCTTTTGGATTAGTTCTGTAGTGTCCATGTCAGCCCACGTTCCACCATCCGTCCCAGTAGTTACCGTCCTTTCTTTCAAGGCAAAATTAAGTCTGCGACACATTTCCAGCCAGCAGATTTGGAAAATTAGTGATTTATCACGCAGTACCTGGTCAAGGAGCCTGCATGAAATCCCAACCAGGATCTCATGTTCAAAACGTCTGAATACTGATTTGTGACCGAGCTTGTGACCGGTGCTGCCGACGATGATCGATTTGGCGACGTTAAAGGATTCCAGTTACTGTGAACAAATAAAAATTGGTATAGTGGGCCCCTAGAATGTCGGTTAAGGTTCGTCAAGGATTGAGTACTCGCGCATTACGTTATTTAAAGTGCCTGGCTTGGTTACGAGAGGTTTTTGTGCAGATGGAGAGCTCCGTAGCGGTAGAGATATTCATAAGATATTTCGCCCTTCGAAACGGGCGTTTGCCTTTACTGTTTAGAATGACTGTGTCTAGTCCAACGCGTGTTCGCTTTCTAATGATGAACACATGACACAACGGGGCTAAGGGTTTTAGCAAAGTTTGGAGAGCAAGCCTGAAGTTTCTGTGTAAACTACGGTACGAAAGAAGGCGAACTTAAGTTGTTAAGGCCCTTGTTCATAAGAGCCGTTCGCTAAGTGCCTAATGCTTTAATGTATTTGTGCAACACTTCTTTCCTAAATCGCAAATGGCTGGCACGAAAAACAATATCAGGAATGGTTCCGAAAATTACGGTGTAAGCCGATTAAACGCTTTTCCTTTGAAACCGGTCTTGGTTTGCTTTTGAACGCTTTTGAATACTCGGCTCCAGGACGCCTCTTGGATTGAGCTACTTAATGCTGATAAGTGGTGATGGACTACCGCTCAAAAGATGAGTGTAATTTCGGTGTCGCATGTGTACAACCGTGCTTTTTGGCATGCCTCCTCGAACAGCTTATTTGGTTCTGAATAAAAAATAAGGATAACACTGGATTTTTTATGTCATGCGCATGCACCATCAACAAGGACCTGACCGTACTTCAGTTTGTATATCTGTCACAGGATAAAGAATTCACATATATGTATGGTTTTTGGGTTGTACACAAATATATTCTGAAGAGCCTTGCCTACCATAAATGCACACTTGCACCTCACTACGCATGGGGCTTGAGGTGGACAAGTTTTAGACCAAGGCGTTCAGGAGGGCCATATTCGTAAAATAACTTGCGATGAACATGACTAATACTCTATTCATTGCTCTATTCATTATTCTCTTTTTTAATATTCCATATGCTGTACATATTCGCCATGTCTTATGCATACGTGCTGGTTGTTACGTTGCGCTGAATTCTGGATTTCTAGTTCGTCTGGTTATTCCGATATACGTACGAAACCTAATTCTCACATAACTGCAGAACAACTTGCGTGTATAGTGTGAAATGCACCACTACAAATCTCCCAATGCAACCGCAGTTTCTTTGAAAGTTGTTTAAACCTACCCAGTGTCAGCCATGTGTACGGAATCCATATCTTAATGGCTGTTGGTGGCTAGGCACAATGTCTTTTTGGGGAAGGCGGAAAATTTCGTCCGCGCAAACTCAAACGTAGCAGCCAATCGCGACCTGTGCAAGGAAAACTTCTATGGTTTAATCCGGAGTACCCATGGACAAGAACAAAGAATTTGTCACTGCTAGTATTTTTATAACGGTCGGTACAGGCTGTATCGGGTGCAGACCGAGGTTTTACCTTCACCGGTATACTGAAGCTTTGAAGGTGCCGTCTGCAGAACCAATAGTTTTGCGTCAAAACTTGCACAGTACAATAGGTCTGCCAGTGCCTTAAAGTTCTGGCACAATTTAACCGTATTGAATGGTATTTTGGTAGCATGTACCATGCTTGGCCTGGAAGTAGCGGAAATATGTTGAACCACGGCCCAGCCATCACACTGCGTATGAAAGTAGTGGTACCCTCAACGCGAAGTCATACTTGAGTTTGTGGAAAACTCCATACATTAACATTGTTAGTAAGTAATTTTGGGTCGTCATGGTGTTTAAATTTGGCCCTGGAATTTTGACAAATTAAGACCAGCATGGATCAATGACATTCTCATGCTCATCGAGGGCGTAGTTTTATTTGTTGTCGCATTTTAAAAAAGGAGATTATACAGCCGTTTTCACATTGGGGATCCAAAATAGGAGTGTCAAAATACATTCCAGATGGTGCTGTGGTGTGAGTTAGACAGCAACTAACGTGGCAGGCAGCCAAGATGAGAAACGACTTCCAACTACTACAGTGAATGGACAGTGATTTCAAAAGGGTAAGTCGATATTCAGATGCAGATATCAGGCATGCGCCCGAGGCGGACGGGCAAAAACAAATGTGATTGTGAGGTACGTGGTTAAGTCAGTCCGTGCGCCACTAAAGTAGCTCGGAGTGTGCAGGGGATACAGACAGGAAAACTTGATATATCTTGAAATGTTGCGTGTGTGTCGTTGAGGTGACCTACGAATGGCGCAGCTGCTTCCAAGGAGAAGCGTGAATGTTTTGCAAAAATAGTTACCTCTGAGACTTTATATCGCGTGTATCTAGTCTCCATTAGCAACTTTTGTTCCGCCATTGAAGGAGTTTTGGATTCAAAATATTGTCCGGGATATGGGCTGCAACCAACACAATCTCAGGCAAGCGGCACCGCGTCCAAAAAGGCTGCTTCTATTTTTGGTTTTCCGTCTACTCCATTTCAGAAGGCAGAGAAAGAGGTTCAGCTTAAGGTGGAGGTGTCTTTAAGGAGAAGGCATGCAGTTGGTATTTAGGTAGCATCGACGCGCATAGAAGATGCAAAAGAGGCGGACACGATACCCAATGATGTGGTGAATGTTTATGCCTCGCCATACATACAAGTAAATCACAATGTTAGTACTCCTGGAATTTTAGGCCGCCCTCGACTCGATTGACCGGTTGGTTCCCATTGACACGCTTGCCAATCAACGAATGGAGAATTCTTCAAAAGCTTCCGTACACATGACGTCCGCCATCGGTGCTTGCCCATTTCATCCCTTATAATTTGGTTAACGATGAGATAATTAGACGAACGCTGAAATGGCTTAAAAAAGCCGGTGTTTAAAAAGAATGATCAAAATCATGTCATTATCGAAGACGAGGTGTTTTTGGGTCAACTGGCCAAAAGCATCCCCTCCTTTGGTATGCACTTTGCTTGCACAGTGTGTACTCGTGGACATGCAGTCACTAACCACGTACTCACTATCCAAAGAAAGGCAGCCAAATTAATGGAGCGTTTTACTTACCTCTGAAGTCACATCGGTTCTAATTACAGAATGACAAATGATGTCAGTACACGAATTTGCAACGCCAGAGTTGCGTCTATCAGTATGAAGCATGCATGGCGTTTAAGCGTTATATGAATGAATCTCAAGCAGCGTACTTATCAAACTTTATTACGGGCTGTTTGGTTATATGTATATGAGCATGGCCAGTGCAATCAGGGTAACTGCGACGCTCTCTGGCGCTCGACAACCGTTGTCTCAGAACCATAGCTCTTACTATTTGGTGAGTTTTCGGTTGTGCATCGGGGACGTCCATTGAAGAATATGTTCAGCACCAAAATTTGAGTTAGCTAATTTGTGTGTTGTATCGGCTAACGGGATATAATAAACATGCAGTCCCCAGCCAGATCATCATTATAATCAGAGAAAGTTAGAAGTTTATTCTACCTTAGCTCATCTATTCGCACATTGTACACATGATTTTTCAAGTGAAGAATAAGTTGAAATGTTTCGGCATGAACCACTAGCTGGAGGGAGTACAAACCTTTGTGACAGATAAAACAGAGCCTCAGAACTGCCTAAAATAGCGCAGGGATTCTACCGTGCTATGGGTCTCTGAGATGTGAAAGATTCCATATCTTACTTGATGCTCAAAATCAAAAACACAAGCAGGTTACCTGATCAGCTTTCCAGACGGGAGCCCCTATTTGTTGAGACTGCTGCTGTGGTTTAGTGTGGGATACTTACAAGTTATGATGAGTTGTCGATTCTATTAGGAACAGCAAGGTTTAGCAAGTACTTGGTGAGTTGGCCACTACATCTTTGTTTAATTGTGTTTTAATGACGTTGCAGATGTACGCAATTTGTCATCATTATGCTGTATGTTCCTGTGCCAAGACCATGATCTCAGGATAATTAATTGGCTGATTAGCCTAAACGCACAATCTAGGCATCCTATCCGACAGGTACCGTGTAGTTCAATCCAACAACGGACGGTCAGCAATAATTGGGGTGAAATCAGATTCTACGAATTTCAGCTGCGTTTGTTCAATTGTCGCAACTGGGCAGCAAACAATATGTTGAATTAAACATGAGCGGACATCATGGATAGGTAGACCGTGGTTCTATATGAAATTAACAGTAAATCATCAGGAGAAATAAAGGAAAGCTTATGGCTAGTTCATACCTCGAGCAGTTGACAACACAGAATGGCAAAGAATGGAAATTGTGCTATCGGACAAATAAATTTGGAAATATGTACATTTCGAGTCAGGACGAAATATTCGTCAACAAACTTAGAGATGAACGTGATTAAATTGAGTAATGAAAACAGTCACTATTAGGTCGACTGTGTATGCGACCGAATAGTTGAGTTTTGAAGCTTGGGCAGTCACCGAAATGGTAACTAACCAGTCGCAAGAATAGGAAAACAAACAACTACATCACGTAATCACCGTACAGATTTTTTCATTTCAGAGAATCTGTCGAAGGAAAGCGGCTCCCTGAAAACGAGAACTGGACTGACTACACAGTTAGTTTGTACCACTGCAACCAATAAATAGAAACATAATTCGCCAAGGGTGGTTGTGTATTTTTCATTCACGGGCTTGGCAGACAGACGATATACATGGATAGAGTGGACTGTCGCTGGATTAAACTATTATGTATAGCTAGGGCCGTATAATCGTCAGCGCGCATCTGTACCGTCCTACCACTTCCTATAAGTAGCCGGGGTGAATGAAAATTTGAAGAACATGAATATGGGGGAACGTCGCTGGTGGTTGGATTAGCCGATCATGTATAGTTTGGGCCACAAAGCCAGCTGCGTGCACAGCCGCAGGTCCGGCAGTATCTATAAGTAGCCGAAGTAGGCGACACCGAGTGCAGCTCTGAAGAAGACGGGCCGTGAACGACCTTTAGGCAATCACGCTTAGTTTAGACCTCGTGTTCATCGGCCGGTACAGATACTGGCCGGGTATTTGCTATGAGATGTAAGGATGACTGAACTTGCCTACAGTTATCAGTATGACGGGCTCTCGTTCGCCAGTAAATCATGTAACAGTGCATAACTGAGTAGCCGTGATCAGCGTCAGACATAGAAACTGGTCCAGCAATTACGATAAGTAGCCAAGTGGCACGACAGCGCATGCTGTTTGCATGCTGGACGGCATTGGTTGGCATTATTTTCTGTCAATGCAGTTTGGCATGATAGCATTCTAACCAGAAAGCACAACTGTCTCCAATGGAACAGACACTGTTTTGTAGTTAATTTGCAGTTTTTCTATGATGCCGTAGTATCTACTGACTAGTTGTGCATATCAGAGAATAAAGAGTATCCACAGAGGTGCACACCATCACTGATCTCCTGAGGACATCAACCTCTCTTTGACCATACTAAACGGGAGGTAAGCTCCAAAAAAACTGTTGTGTCGAAGTTCGCTGAACAAACTCATCTAATTCGTTGCGTTTGAATGGTTTTACGCCCGCAAACACTAATGCACTATTTTTCTGCGAGGAATTTGCAATGGGTATTATGCGGATATTAGCTCACTTGTAAAGAGCATCGCGGAATTCTATAATGAGCTAAAGTTCGATTTGGTGCTTCACCTCGTTGACCAGTTATGGAATGCAACTGGGAAGTGGCGGACGACCTTCAAAGTTTTCTCACTTAGGCAAAATGCCATTGGCAACACATCACTGAAACGTTCAGATGGATTGGACTAATTCCCCTTAAAAGTCGCAACTCCACACACCACATGATTTTCGGTTTACTTCTAGTGAGAGCCCGGGGTGCGAGGACTAGATTTTGGCTTCGAAATATTGGTGGAGCAAAGCGGAAGCGATGGTATACTTTCAAGACGAAAAACGCATGCCAAAAAGCTTCATGTATTGCACAAAACATTTCACATTCGAAATTGGAAAAAGATGGTGACCTTAAGGTTCATTGGCAAGTATAACAGCCGGTTGTGTTGATACTTCAACAGAATGCTTGGCGTATGTAGGATTTTGGTGCCCGCGAGCGGTGTAATGAGCCCTGTCCCAACTTATTCTAGACTCATAAGTAATGTAAATGGCATTTCCACATGTCGTGACTCCGTTTTACCCTACTGTTATTTCGATGTTACATTAGTCCCTGCAGTCTCCAGCAAACTCTCTACAAGACACCTTTTTCTGCTATATTTTTATCCATTTTCCCAGATGGGCGATGTTTGAGACAAGGATGGAAGAATGGAAGCCTTACATGAGTTGTTGCGTTGGAATGAACGACAAGAACAAAACCCACCCAGAAAACTTGGGCGAAAGCCTCGGCTCAGAATATCAATCCGTGAATCCGTTAATGACTGCAGAGAGCACAGTGATTAACTGTCTATGCATGCTTGAATTTGGTGACAAACCGACGATAAATTATCACACACAAAAGGCACATCTTACCCCGTATTCATACGGAGAACTCTTTTGCGGCTGGTAAAGTTCTTCGGAGCTTATCCGTCCAAGAAACTAGACAATATTCATTTTTGTCGTGAAGTACTTTGAATCTGACATGACCTGGGCCAAGTTCCAGCCAATGAACACCTTGCATTTTTTGACGGGCGCGTCTTGTGTCGTGTTGCCGAAACCGGTCTCCGCGCACAATGGTGAGGTTCCTTACTCGACTTACGAATAGCCCACGTAGACAGTACAGACTGCGAGTTCTGTTCCAGTTTCTATCCAATCTTCCAAACTTATAGGTAAGCTCGAATTACTTAGGGGTATTCGCATTATGTAAAGAATGGATGTTGAACAGACGGCTGTTACAAACCGACTATCCGAAGAGGCTTGCTTCGGTGAGAAACAAGCTTGAACAACTGATTAGCGCCGACTTGTCTGTCCTCGATTTATCAGAACATGAAGCACGTAAGTTGCTTTTTCATCGAGAAGATTTTTTAGCCTCTTACCTTCAGGCTTTGCAGGTTTCACAAATTATGGGAAAAAGTGATACCAGGCGCGATTTTTTCGGCCGTGCTAGTCAACCTGTTCGTGTAAGTAATGATTATCAATGTTTCACCCCTTTAGTCTTGGAAAGACATTGTTGAAACATATGAAAAGCACAATCTCCATATCGGTATGTGACATTTGAGTATCATCTAAAAAGCTCAGCCGAAATTAGCGAGAAGGTACAAGAAATAGCTGCAGAACAAGTACCAAGATGCAGATTCACTATTTCAGATCGTCAAAAACTTATCACAGTGAGTCGATTTGTTAATATGGGATTTGCGTCCAAGGATCTCAGACAGAAGGTCAAGGAGCAGACCCTAAATGTAATGAAGAAAGAAGAGGCACTGGAAAAGTCCTGTAAAGAATTTGGCATCAATGTATGTATGTATGTTCACCAGTTCTAACCTCTAGGCTTCGGAAGCAAACATCAAGCTTCGCCTTCTTGAAGAATCCACGGATGTACCGACATTGCTGACCAACTTTGTTGAGAGTTTGAGTGATCTTACCTGTGTCGTAGATCTGTACGCTGCGATGAAGGAGTGCACACACAGAGCGTGAGTTGGTCTCTCCAGTTTCCATATCATGGTGTAACATATCGCATGAACTTCTGTTCACCCTAGTGTTTCTTGTATTTCCATGTCCTTATTTGAAAATGTGTTTTCTCTGTTGCAGAGGGTTAACATCTCGGGTTATGATATTTTTTCGGGTGATGAGAGTTAAGGACAGAGGAACCGAAGGCTGCATATAACTTAGGTTCTCCGACTCTGCAAACTGCGTCCAATATCCCCCATGATTTCCGTTGTACGGCACGACCAACCGTCAAAAACAAACGGCCCTGTCACGCTATGGCGTTTCGTGCATCGTGAACCATTAGGGTACACTGGGAAGTGTATGCATGGCACTCACAGAGCCTCATATGCCAGATTAGTCGCCGGGCAGAAATCTAACCAACTTCCGAAACAATCAAAACCGATTGGCCACATGGCGCCATCAGCCCTCAAACCAACCTACAACACAAGTAGACCACATCCCCATCGAATATGGGTGGTGCAGGCCCATTGCTGATTATGGTTCATTCTTGAACACTGAGTTCAGATCCATCGCTTCTTCGATGTTGCTTCGGGTCGTACAAATGCATGCACCTCACCTGGTCACTGAGAAATTCTCGGATCCTGGTTTGGAGGAAATGCACCAAAACCACCTACTGAACGAAGTCTTTCGGGCAATATGTCCTCTGGTGTTGACTCACCTTACTTCCAACAACACAATTGATCGAAGCTCGGACGCATATTGCCGTGGTCGAAAGCACAATACCACTCGACGAACTGTCAGACCTCGAGTGAAAGAGTACCTGAACAGATTAATAATCTTGGTGGGCCCAGAAAGCTGAGTAGATGGAGAAGGCGAGAAACTTTGGAATTGTGCACGAATGGCTCCACTTAATACGCAGAACAGGCCCAAAGAGGCCTTGGCGAGCGAAACAATCACTGGTAAAAAGTGGCTTACTTATCCTTAAAAAGGAACATTTGAGTCGTTTAATCGGAAACTTCCAGCAACAAGTCACTTGGCCACATGCAGATGTTGAGCCAGATTCCTAACTGTCAACGCGTAACGTGAGTTTGGAATCCTCGACGGCCTAGGAAGTAAGCAAATGTCTTTCACTCCTCAAGCGCCACCGAGCTGCTGGTCACGGGGGACTTCCATCTGTTGTGTTCAAAGATAAGGACAGACTGTCAATCGGTAATTGTATGACCAATTTACCTCTGGGAGAAAGACTGTCACAGTCAACTGGAGTGAGCTGATGTTGGTGCCCATTTTCATGAAGGGTAGTCACGGTGTGTGACAATCACAAAGGAATTATCTCCACCCCCTTTTTGACCAGACTGCACCGCCTGTTTTACATCTCACGAAGGCACGTGAAGACGGGACCAGAAAACAAGCAGGTTTCTGGCCGGGAAGGAGCTGTGTGGACCACATCTTCACACTGTGGAATTTTAGAGCCTTTGTATGCATCAGGACGTCATACAATCTTGATATTCTTTGACCTCAGAGGGGACGTTCGATTCCGTAGACCGGTTGGCACTCAATACTTGCGTGACGGGATATATTCTAGATATTTATATCATGCGCTGTTTGTATTCCCTTACCTGTAGGTACGTGTTTATGGAGGGCAGTGGTTTCCAACAAGGATGTCCACTTTATCCATTTTCCTGTACTTTCGTTACTGTTGGAGTGTTGAGATGAACACTGGAAAGTCTCGAAAACTTCGGCGCTCATTTCTCTCTTGCAATATACAGATTACACTTTACTTTCAAAATGTAGCGGAAAGCGCAAACATCACTAGAAAAGCCTACTAAGGTCACCCAGTCCTTCGATATATGCTTCGCGCCGACCAGTCTATACTGTGGGACCTATAGCTTTTCAACGTTCCAGTAAGAATTCAGGAAGACTGACTCGCTACGCGTATCCCGGAAGTTGCATTATCTCGGACGGTAGTCTGACAAATCTAAGGCACAAATCTCGGAGGCCGGAATGGATTCATCCAATTTGTGCTACTGGTGGTCTCACTGAACAATGTCGTTATTTTCTATCCAGAATGTCTGACTAAATGTTAGAGGTGTAGGCTTGTCGAAAGTTTGGTGTAGGCTAGGCCTGGGTCCTTCCTGCTTCACATTTTCCTTTTCACCTTATTCAAATAAGTTGATCTGACCGCACGGCAGTGCCGTCATCTGGCGTTGCTGTCAGTGATGGTGGCCGGCAGCAGAACAATCGTGTAAAGCCATGTTAGAGAATATGTTACTAAGCTGAAAGCTGAGTCATGTGCAGGCAAGTAGCGTGCCACGAGTGGAAAGAAACCGTTCACTTTAACAGAAAATTTACGTTGATTTAACCAGCTGGTTTCGTTTCAGTTCAAGCAAGTTCATGCACTAGGAGTAATAATAATAACAATAATAATAATAATAATCGTTCAGCTGTAACACGCTTTCGATGGCTGGCTGCTATGCCACCCGAAGGAAGCACAGGGGCTGCAATATTGTCAGGTTGCCCAAGCCTAGACGGGGAAAGTCGAGATACAGAGGTCGGGTTTGAGCCACATACCTCCCGGTCAGTAAATTGGCGCTCCAACCACTGAGCCTTCTCGTTCGTCGAAGGCCTTTAACTTTCTGTACTCTACTCTGTCGACCGGTTCTCGCTTGATGGGGTGCAAACAGAAAATGGTTTCAAACTCATACCGCCCTTTCATCTGGTGTTCCTACTTGACTGACAAAAGAAGGTAACAGCCGCTTCCTTACTTCCTTCGACTTTTCGCAGATCTGTCAGCAACACTCAACCAGGGGCTTTTCGAATCCAATGACTTCTCACATAAAACCAACTCTAGACCTTAGGCGAACGGCCATTGTACTGTTTACCGGGGTGTAAGACCGAGTCTTGGAGATGTTTGAACGAGGTAGTTCAGAGTGTATTCTAGAGTTTCGTCGCATGCCTTACTCGGGCCGCATCAAGAATCCAAACCTCTACTGTTAAACATGGAAGGCTTCGTGGTAATCATTTTGAGGCTTCGTATGTACCCCGAGGAGAGCTTGGGGAGAGGTTGATGCAGTTTTTGCCGAGAACAGAGTTAATTACCCTAGGATACAGACTGAAAACACTATAACTGGAGATAACGGCTGTATTCGTTGGTTGTTCAGATGACCGTTAATGTGTTCGCCGAGCTTGGCAGTTAATGTGCAGATGTTTCGTCACCAAACGGCGAGGCATGATCGTTGTGTGGTTGGGTGGTTCAGCTCAACGTAGCCTTACATTCCTGACAAACGGAGACCTACGAGCTTAATGCGAAGTTGGCTAGAGGTTCTGGAAGCCTATTTCTGACCCGCCTGTTTGGGAACGTCAGGGATTAATCAGCATGATTGTTCTGGGTAATTCACAAATGTTTTGTGTTATTGTCTCTTAAATCAATATCGTGAACTTCAGTGGAATTTGGAGGCAAAACAATCGCAATTGCTTCTGCAAATGGCGCGTTTGAATCTTCCGGTCGGCTTTACGTAAGAGTATAGTTTGCGCGTTCCGTGTCCACAGAATCGCTGGTGTATAGTGATACGAGAAGGTCTCCGGAGCTTTCTTACAAGCAGTTTTCAACCATTTCGATTTCTAATTCATTTCCTGATGGATTGGAGGGTGGTACTACTACTGCTGACGTTAGGGTATCAAGTTCCGGTATTCGAATGGCTGCGCACGAGACTTTCGAAGGCGCAGGAATTGTGGACGGCACTTTTTACTTTCGAGAAATATTCTAGGCATGTCTATGAAAATCAGGTCCTCATTTCCGTCATGTTTCCTGCACCCACAAAGTGTCATTTCATGCTGCAGTAGACAGTCCTCAATCAGGCCAACGAATGATACCAACGAACGCGCATTGAGATGACCAGCCAAATGTTGTTTATGGGAACAACGCTTATTCCATTTTCAGGAAACACCCTTGACTACACCTTGCAGCGGCCCAACCGTCTGCTGCGCGTATTAGATCAGCGTTTGCTGTGATGAGCGTCATTCACATGTGTTAACAAAATGACTTGGAGATGATTATATTGTCTATTATCGCTGTAATTTGTCTTCAGGAGTTCCGATCTTTTTACTTGCATTGCTTTTGGCCGTTTGGCGCCATACTTTCTTACTGATGTTCGTATTGCCAGTTCCTTTCCATACTGTCCTGGTGGGTGTGTGAACCTCAAATTGTTAGATAGGCGTCGAAATCAACATAGATGCCGCTGTCTTTGATTATAATAATGATAATGGCAGGAATAATGGGAAAACAGCTTCTGCATCAACATATGTAGTAGCATTTGGGAACGCGTACACTTATGAGAGAGATAGTCGGGGACGTTTTTTGTGACACGCTTGAGTTTGCTACCAGCTAAAACTACCAAGGTAGTTACCAAGATGGTGGACGTGGATGTGGGATTTGATTATCTGGACTGGACTCAAAACATGCGGCTGTCTGATAGTATGGGTCGTTTCTTTACTGCACGTCCGGAGCAATTGGAGTTCTCTGGCTACTTGGTACCGTCGGAGATGTAGTCAGGCCGGTACAACTGGCCACGTCTCTGTCAAGCATAGTTGATTTGAAACAGCGCCTGATTACAGCCTTTAAAATGTTGAGGTAGATTAGGGTCGAGGACTTATCCATCAGTCACTTCATGTGCAAAATTTTGCCTGATGTGATCTGCACATATGACCCGTCATCTTTGATTGTGAGGGGCCAAATGACTCTTCCAAAGCAATGTGAAGTTTGAGAATATTTTGCCTATCCTTTGTGAACATGGCTGTGGTCGTGGTCATATTGGTAATGGACTTCTTAGAAGCTTTTAGGGTAGTATCAAACCATTCATGTTGGTCTAAAAGCGGCACACTACTAGATGATTACTTCACTTTTGCTGAATTACCATTGCCTTCTGTTTGAAGTGATTCGGGACCACCCCAGTCCATTGTCAGCAGTCGGAAGCCATGTCGGCACAGATGTCAATTCACTGTCCTTTCAAGTGATGCGCATAGTGTGAGTCCGTGGTGCCGGTGTCCACTTCGTTTTGCCCACCGCATCGACAAGGGGAATGCAGAAGCCACGACCGCTGCATGATGTCGTGGAAACGTGTTGGAGACGTCCTTGGTTGAAAACCTATCTCGTAAGAGTGCTCAGATTATGGCACTGATGCACCAGTGATCAAGGGATTCCAGCGTGCCTGTGTCTTTGTCTCGCAAGTGCCATGTTTCCCATGCTCAGAACGACACAGGGCAAATGTTCAATTTGTATACACGGATATTAGGTCACTGACATACATTGCAATTGCATGAGGCTTCTGTCAGATGAAGTCAAGTTATAATGCGATGGGCTTATTTGGTAGTTTCTTCAAAGTAAAGAACCTGGGTACTCGACTATGTTTACTGACCCAACTACTTAGCCATTGTCTGCGACAGGCAAATTGGCAGATATTCGGTCCAAAACTGTCTTCGCATTGGTTTTGTGCTATACACTGGCTATACATTCAACTGTGGGGCTCAGTGATCCAAGTTTTACTTCCACCACTTCCTGTGATCACTGTATCACCAACTTGTTCTGCGTCCGACAGGTGAACATTTGAGCGGGTTGGACACCGGCGCATCTATCCAGCGATTTCCATGTTGCTGAAGATGATCGTTGAAAGGAGACAACCTTATGGTGTTCAGTCACCGGTTTCGAAACTGAGTTTTGTGAGATGCGCACTGATGGTGATTTCAAACAAGGGTAGAACAGCTGTGCAGTGCTCGGCTTTTCAGCGTGGATTGGTTCCACTGACAGAATAAACTTATCAAATCCCCTTACCACTATCAGCCTTGTTTCAGGCTGTGGTTGATGGCATTCCCCTCGGCTCCTTGTCTTTCAGATGAACTCACCTTGATGCAAGAATTGTGTTGAACAGCCCTGATCCAGACTTTGGGGCAAACTCTTTATTAACTCAAATGGCGGTTATATGGGGAACTCCGCCTTTTGTTTTGAAATAGGAAACTACATTTTCATGTTGATGTGTTCAGTTCATTACAGTTTGATAGTGGATCCTTCTGGACCCTTTGCAATCATTATTTCGTAGTCCTTGTCCCTACACCATGGCTCAAATGATCTGAGAGTTTCGGGTGACTTCTGGTTGCTCAGCCCTGTGGAGTATTAGACAATGGCAGTAAGCATACCAACCACTAAAATGTGTCGACTAACTTGAAGCTAAAGTTAATAGTCATTTTGCCTATCAACTGTCATCCATTCTCCTCTCTGTCCAATAACCGAACAATGGCATTGCCTTTCACAGTAACTCCTCGTTTTTCGATCTGACTACTCGTTCACATTTACACCAGCTTTCAAGATGAGCAAGCACAGAGGGTTAACCCACTTCCGGAGTGTTGTCCCACTCTCAGACTGCTCATCAAATCTGGTCACGTACATCTGTTCACGTGGAAAATGGGCTGTGAACCCGGGAAGCTGGGGGCGGATGACGACTTCATTCCCGCTTTGTTGGCTGAAGAACGACGACGTGTGCAGCAGCCAACCGTGAACATTGTGCAACAGACGGCTGTGGACGAGACGCCGGTACTGGATCTAGATACTTCCGTTGATGTAAGTTGAAATTTCGTTATCTACTTTAACAGTGGAAGTATCATCCAAGTGTCTTGACCAGGCGTGTAGCTTAGTCTAGACAACCAGTCCTCAGTCCGTAGTAGTATGAACATGGGAAGCAGCTGACTCTATCATGACCGCTGAAGTCGCTCCAGAAGGGTCTTCATTGGTAACTTGAGAAGCTAACACCCTAACTCTGTAATACGACAGCTTCAAGCCAATCTCAAAGCTTTGAAAACCACATAGTATCTCTTCGGAAAAAGGAATTTTGAAAACCAACTTTTGTTTTATTATGTACCAACCTGAACTGTGTAAATATATGTGACGGCTCCACCAAAATATGCAAAATAATCAGATTGGATCTAACATGACCTCATGATAATTCCCCTCAATCATTTTCTTGCTCCTGAAGCTAACACCCTAACTCTGTAATACGACAGCTTCAAGCCAATCTCAAAGCTTTGAAAACCACATAGTATCTCTTCGGAAAAAGGAATTTTGAAAACCAACTTTTGTTTTATTATGTACCAACCTGAACTGTGTAAATATATGTGACGGCTCCACCAAAATATGCAAAATAATCAGATTGGATCTAACATGACCTCATGATACCCTCAATCAATCATTTTCTTGCTCCTTTCATGTAATTTTGATCTCCACTTGTTTTACTCATCTGTACTTGCCTTGCGGCAAAGGCCCCCCGGCCAACACGCGTATCATCATCATCATCATCATCAATGACAGCAACATCAGTGTTGGCACTGATGCTTCACTGCCGTACCGACAGGGGTATACTAGCATGTGTGTCAACGTGCGCAGCGGACCGACTTACCCATGCGTGTCCGTGCCTCGTTTGCTGAGCCTGCCCTGACTTGTTCTCTCATGAGTTCCATGTGATCGTTCCGCCAATCAGAATCATGAGACTGTCCCGGAAATAACGACCTCAACCCACACTGTAGAGCCAACATTCCGCTTACCGTTGTTTGGCGTGCGAACGTTGACGCTGCGTTGTACCGGTCAGTGACAGACTCGTGCAACTGTTGACCCCACGGACATGGACAATTTAGGTTTGTTTTATAAGTTCGCTTATCCTTGTATCAATACTACCGTAGACCTCCAAACCCGACTCTCCGTTTTGATTGGGTTATCAAAGCTACGTGTGACCCCATCGGGAACACCAACAACCAGCTTCTACCCATCACTACACAACAATTTCTATGTTACCTATTTTCCTAACTGTTTTTACCTATTTCTTTCATACATGGCGTTACCAAATTTACCTTTTCTGGTATCACCTTTATTAGCCGCATAGTACCCTTGTTATTTTTCCAAACTTCATCGCCTGTCTTTAAATAACAATGGAATGGAGTCTTTTCGACACTGAACTGGCTCAGTTTTTGTCGGATTAGCATTCATTATTTATGTACGTAGCAATATATGTAGTAATAGAACACAGTTTTGGGTTGATTCTTCCAAAGTGCTCAGGTGAGAGGTCCTACGGTCCGATGTTTACCACATGAAAACTCAGCATTTCACTCGGGAAACCAGTGTTTAGTACATTGATAGCGTTTAGAGAGGTGGCGAAACTGTACGCAGTAGGTTGGTAAGCGATTACTGTTTGTATCCCATAAACTGGCATCCCGTCCTTTATTGAGTACATCCCTCCACTTTTTTACACTGCATTTGGATTACGAGCGAATTTCAACAGAAAAAAGCCTAAAAGAATTAGTGAATTAGGAGTTGGTCTATATATCCTGAAATCGATTTCAGAAGGTCTTCTCAAATATGGTCGAAACAAGGGGCAAAGTTGGATAGCAGAAAAACAGAAATTACACATTCCTGACGTAAATCGATTGCCGTTATCACCATTATAATGGTCGTCGGCTGTTAGCTGTGTACAGGCTCTGTGGTTTCTACAGTTTCTTTTGTCGATGAGGGACACGCGGTAAACAGCTACCCGTTGGGGGCAATAAATTTTATTCTTCAACGGCAAATTCAAGGAAAGCGATGGCCCTTGGATATTTGTGAGGAGACTAGAAGGCAGGCCGCGCGTGTAAGAGAATAGCATGGTTGCATGCACCTTGTTTGTTGCGTGACCGGACCACACTTGCAGTCTATTCTTCGATGTATCCCGTATCCTGGTTCACGTCCAACGATGGAGTCCATGATGGAGTTATCAATGCAACTATGTTTTCTGGTTCGGACCTGCGAATGATCATGCATAAAGGGATTTTGGGGAATCAGATCTACTGACACGGAGCACGCGACCAAGCCAGCGCAGTTTGCGAAGTACAAATAGCTCGTCTGTCATGTATGAGTTACTTGCTGCGGAAGCCATTCGACATGCTTTGGCGTTACCAGTCCGATGCTACATCCACACTCGGACAATGATACGATCGCTGATCAAAAGCTGGTAGACTAACATCTGCAGCTCGCGAGAGACAGGTTTTGGAGTCAGTGCTACACACGACAGCTTTGCAAGTCCGACCCTTGATAGCTAAGTTCACATCGCGTTCACGTCACACATGCTACCAGTGTAACGGTGATACTACTGATGGGGGCACGCAAGTAGTATGTGTTGTTCGTAGCATTTCACTTTGCGTCTTTTGAAAAGGAAAGATCTGTTGCGGAATTAGTGGAGCCACTTTGTAACATTTGCTTGGATTTGACCGACGAATGAGTGGAGTCGATGAATCTCCAGGAAAGTTCAAGAAGACGCGTTCGGGAGAGGGTGGGTGTCCAGTTTTTGTAAATAAGATGCAAATTAGAGTTTTGCTTCCCTGTTCAATGGTCTGCAACCGGTCAGTTGGCATTTCCTTATAAATAACTCCTCAGCGAAGGCCTTCTTCCTTTCACCAGTTGTCAACGACCGCTCCTGTCATACTAGTTTGGTAGGGGAGCAATGTAGTTTGTATTTCGATCACCAGAACAGCCGCCTAAGTATTGGGTTTTGGTGGGACCCATCAGTGAGCAAGGTTGTTCCATAGAATCTGGCTCGATATACCGGAATGTCTCAGGACGAATATCCAGTTGACAAAGTTTCTCTCGGAAAGGAGGCCGCTTTATTGGGTCGTGCTAGGCACCCGAAGTTTATAGGGGGAGCGCTTGCTTTTGTAAGTGTCTGTAGGGGGTGGTTTCAACCAGAAACAGAACTGATTAGGCACAGTTGTACAGAGTTAACAACATCCGATTCACTGTCCGTATTCGCGGCCGTATTCAACCAATATGATATGATCATTTTTGGTGAACTTTGTAAAATTCGGAAGCTTTTTTTGAACAAACCTACTGATAGACGCGTATTGTCCTGCCTAGGATCCAGTCTTTAGCTTCGAGCGGTGTAACGGAGACATTTCCTGTAACCTTTGGGATAGATGATTTGAACCACTGGTCTTATCAGGTTCACGCAGTCCATTGTAAATTGTACTGTTTTACTGTTGGCAAGGTTGACTTCTCTACGTATACACTTAGACGAGTTAATCGTGACAGTTTTTTGGCAGTTTTTTGTCCCGTGGCCACATGGGGGTATGAGCTGATTATCCCGTGTCCCACACTTCAGCTTCTCTATATGACCGTCAATATTCCACTTCTGATCCTCGCCTGGCTTGTATTGGAACATAGGCGGTTTGAGAGACGGTACAACCACTTTAACAGATGTCGTCCAAAGTGCGCAGGTGCGTTTTAGCTGAAGTGGACATATCTGTCACCATTTTCGCACTGTCGCCCCACACCGAATTTACTCAACATGGTGAGTGAAGTCATTCTACCGATACACATAGTGGGATGTTTGCAGCTAACACCATAGTCAACCTAGATATCCTGTCCATCACGCGATTACACCACATAGTAATGGTGAAACCCGGCGAAGACTTGGGTACCAGACAGCAGTCAGTAAAATTTAACGTGGTGCCTCTAACGTGAACTGGATCTAAAGCAGTTGAAAGAGGGTTGTTCCTTCATAGTGAAAACGCTGGTGACTGCACAGTGGATGTATTCACTTAAACTGTCTGACTCTTCGACCACGGAGTGTGTTCTTATCAATGACTGACACTAAAAATTCACCAGTATGGCTAACTAAGGACTCGTCGGCTCACTCATACTGTGATATGTGTAAAAAGCATGTCATGTCGCTTATATGTGTCACACTCTGTGCACATGCTTCACACCTCGGGACTTATTTGTCATGTCACGCGTGGTCTTTGTGCTTGGATCACTTTCGTGTAATTAAGGAGGCCGAACAAAACACTATCAGACCTGTTAATGCACGGTGTCGTGTGAATGACCACTGACTCACCACAGCACCTCCCTGCATATGCATCGAGCTTTTGTTGCCCGTTATCAAAGTTGACCAGATGGTCCTCATCAATTATATGCAATGCGTACCTTAGCTTCGCCGCCCTAGATTTTGATAAGTTCCTTCGAGTTTCTTGGGGTGGCTCGAAAATGCCTTTGGTTCAAGCCTTCAAGTGTCCTTTGGTTTGCCGAATGCAGACGCAGTCAAAATCGGTACAAGCAATTTTGTAAGCACGATATGTTCATCGGGTCTTTCTTGCGAACCACTTGCCTCTGCAGTGTGTTGACCACTTGGAGAGTGATGAGGATGCTGAAGCTGGGGAGTACACTAAGGATGCTTTGAGATGCGTACTTCCGGTAAGAAATCCATATCCTGTTAGTTGATTCAAGCCTTGGTCTAAGTGATTTCTCCCGGTTGGTTGCTGAAATGTGTTCGACGGATATCCATTGTTTTTTTCATTGTTTGTTTACTTTTGGCAATCTTGCCTTCAGACAGTTGTGTTACTCCATATCTTAGTTGCTCAGTGAACTAGTGTACGATGACCGCCCTATTATCGCTTGGGTTCACTAATTCGAAGATTTCCCCTAAGTAGCAATGGATATATATATACTCAAACTTCCCAGCGTCATCCAGCTTTTGTTTGATGGTGCACAACCCAGAACAGTCTTCAAGACAGTCGAGGACAATGGTCAGCAACTTCATAGTTCAATTTTGAAGACATCTTGTCCTCCAAGTCGACTGTATCTAATTCATCTTGCTGTTTTGGGACTGAAGTGGACTGAGTTAACTCGACCCCAGGTATATCCCTGATCGCCATTGTCTATAAAGCACGATCGAGCACGGCGTTATTCGGTTTCCGTCCCACTGTTTGACCCCGTAAACCAGCCATAGACTATGACATCGACCCTAGCTGTTGAGAGCCAGATTGTCCTACATCGCCGTATTTTCATCAGCTTAAGCACTGCTTGATCACAGCAGGTAAGAGTTCAGATTGATCAACTACCTTCATCTTGGAAACCATCACGTATATTCATTGTTATCAGCTGTCAACCACATAATACTGTGAAGTTGCTCCAGCTACCCAAGTTCCGTTCATCATTGATATGGATAGACTGCTACGTATTGATATCTTCACATAGTGAAGACATCAGTGGTGTTTGTATTTTTCTTTGGGGGGGGGGAATCGGTAGTAGCAGCTATGCATTGAAGGAATGCACGCTACTGGGTGTATGACCAATCCATATCTGCAAGTGTTACGAGTATATTCACCTCCCCAACACCTCTCTCCTTAATGTAATCTCCGAATTAATTTCTTTCTAACTGTCTAGTCATCCTTTTTATTCATTCCTCGTTTAGATCGAGTGGGGCGATATTGATAGAGCGGAAATAGACTTTGATGTCATTGAGGTGGAGGAAGATGCGGTGGCACAGATCGAACTGGACGAGCCAGTACAAGCCCGCAATACCAATATTGATACTAACATCACGGAAGGAAATCTACATGAAGCTGTTGTCTCCGGTCATATGGCTCGCTTTCTTCTGGATACAATCGAGGGTCGCGCTGCCCTGTTGAATGAACTGGTCGAACTCAGTTCCTTTTTGACGCGATTCACTGACGATCTTATCGAGTCCCAAGGACTCAACAGAGATGATCTGGAGCTTGCCGACTCTCCCACTGTTTCAACTAGTTCTGTTGGGAACTTTGGTGGTTCGAATACGATTCACAATATGATTATGCAAGTAAGCTCATCGTTATCAACATGCCTTGAACAGCCCAACAGACTATGCGTTGGTTTGGTTCTGTATTGGTCTGTTTTCTTGTTTCACAACTGCTTTCCATGTTTTTTGTAGTCGTACGTTTGCTCTAGTATCGTGGCCTTAAGTTTTGTTATAAGTGCCTATATTTCCCGACCGTAGTTGGTAAACGCGGCTTCCGCCACAGCGCTGTAAACCTAGCAGGACGACTCCCTCCCTCTGGAGCGTATCGCCTGAGCTGCCCTTGATCCTTATGCGCCTTATGTCCCTCGCCTCATTATGTGCACGAACGACTCAGCATGCATGGCATCCCATCCAGCATACACACTACGCAGAAGATCATCTACCATCATATTCCTGGGACAGAATAAACTAGCAACTGAGTACTGATTACTTCAGCCCTTGGTATGGAGTAATAAGGCACGTCAAATCATAAGTTTCCAGTGCAGTTCTCATATCCCGATGAGAAGTGTAGTGAAATACGTTAGCTGCCCGTGTCGGAAACAGCCAATTAGCAAAGGTACGCGACCTCTGTAAAGAACAAGTATCAGCTTATCTTCATAACCTGTTTATCCTTCTGTTCCAGCGTAATATCTTGGGTTTGTTCAAGGGTGACACGTCGGAAGAATAAACGCTTTTCATGTGTGGATGTGAGTCACACTTCCCATTTATCTGCTAAAAAGGCAGCTCCGAGGAAACAAACAAACGAGAGCCTGTTCCCGGACGACAACGAGGACTGCCTACCATCTCACACTGCGGCCATCATACACAGTGTTATCTTTGTCATTCTCTAAAACTCTTAGTCGTAATCACCTGGACTCATAAGAGAGTTTTAGATGGTAATTGATGCGCAAGCATGTAGTATGTTTGCTCTAGGGCTGTACAGTCCACGTATTAAGTTTAATTCTCACCCACCCCTTCATGCTATAATTTCCCCAGTGTACCAACTTTGACCTGTGTGTCGTTGTTTTGAAACTATACATTTCATTAAGATTTTTAGATTGTTCTCCCCAAGCTATCCATCTCTAGGTCTTTTATCCTCGCCCTCAGTAGAGCACCCCTTGATTGATATATTCAACTTTATTCCTTCAGAATTCTCCATCCATTATTCAGTCAGTGTCCGCCAAAGAAGCGGCAAAGATGCTCACCAAAGTGGAACGTGCTCGTGCACAGTTAACAAACAGGTGAGTACAGTCAATCATATATAAAGCGTCATCCTATGAGAGTCGTTGAACCAATTGGACCTGGAAATGTAAATCTCGTCAGTTAAACTTCATATCTTCATTAGTTGCCACTCTTCCAATTGCCTCCCAGGTAATGTGAACATACATAAACGGTGGTGGACGATTAACCGCTACTAAATGGTCATGCCATCATCGTTGACAGCATAACATCAATATCAAACACTGATGCTCTGATGCCGTACAACCCTGTTTTATTTGAAAACCTTGTGAAGGAAAGAATAGAAGCGGATGGGGCAGGGACGTAGTGCTAGCCTACCACTGTCATTCCGAGGCTCCTGCACCTCCAGACACTCATTCAGGCTTGCAGCATCTCAAACTGGGCGCAGTGGGGATCACGTGGACCCCATCCTAGAATCGAGTCACAGCGACAGCACCCAGACTGGTCATATACTTTTTTCCATACCCATCTACCAGATTAATGGTTAGTTACCTTCCTACTTCCGCCACTCTGAATTGAGTATGGAAACGGAACTCTTCGGCGAACGATGGTTCGGCATACACAACGCACGGCTTAAACATCGCCAATTCTGGTGCTCATTCTTCGATTCGATGCAAGTTCACGTTGCACACTCTTCGGCGAACGATGGTTCGGCATACACAACGCACGGCTTAAACATCGCCAATTCTGGTGCTGAACTCATTCTTCGATGCAAGTTCACGTTGCACAACCGAACACCCGCTTTCTAATTACCCTATTCTGGATTCGAGACAGAAATGTGTCGAGGGCCTTAAGACGTCTTAGTTCCTCTGCTCGAAGAAGCTCACAACCACATAACAAAGCAACCTAAAACACATTCAGGAATTTACTGCTTTACCACCATAGCTGTCTCAAATTAGACAACGTGACCCGAGCCTTGCAGGTTCATGTATTGACCTCGCGTTTTACACTGAAACTGGAACTGACACAACTTGCAATGCACGTAAAATGCACCACCACTTCGAGTCTTTCCCTGGATCATAAGTGGTGTGTTCGGCAAGAGCATGTACAAGGAAATGACCTCGTACTTTGTGTGTGCAAAGCACCTGCCAATGGACGGGATGACTTTGTTCATTTCACCCCAAAACACCTGTACCTTTTTCTCATCTTCGAAGACGAGAACGGTACCGTCTAGTGGTCCAAATCGACAAGGTCTTCTCCAGCAGCTATTTGAATGCCAGGGTCTTGAAGACCTTCCTCACACCCCTGAGGCCTGGGGATACAAAAAACCCATCATGTTCACAAGCTCCCGCGGCATTGCTTGATGGGCATGCGTGTCAAGGAGAACAGACCGACCAACCTAGTAGAATTTGTGTTGAAAATCCCGGAATAGTATAACTGTGAACCATTTATACGTATGGCGTTACAGCAACTGATGGACTGTGGGTATTCAGTCAACGCAGCCCCCACCAGGCTGCTCTGGGATCAGTGTTTCACCGGTCACCATAAGGCGATGAAGAACAAGTGACACTAGGAGTCTCGTTACAACTGGGGTCAAGCTGACCCCCTATGAGAACCACACACACCACGGGCCGTCTTTTAAAACGATCACTATCACCTATTCGGGCAAGCGTGTCAAGGAGAACAGACCGACCAACCTAGTAGAATTTGTGTTGAAAATCCCGGAATAGTATAACTGTGAACCATTTATACGTATGGCGTTACAGCAACTGATGGACTGTGGGTATTCAGTCAACGCAGCCCCCACCAGGCTGCTCTGGGATCAGTGTTTCACCGGTCACCATAAGGCGATGAAGAACAAGTGACACTAGGAGTCTCGTTACAACTGGGGTCAAGCTGACCCCCTATGAGAACCACACACACCACGGGCCGTCTTTTAAAACGATCACTATCACCTATTCTTCCCAGTTGTCCGGAACAATCCCCTTTCCCCAAATATGGACAAACGCACCATACAAACACTGACTGAGGACTTCACCCTCATCTTTAAGCAATGTGGGTGGGAGTAATTTAGGACTGGGAACTTGGTGGACGTATGCAGCCATGGAATTCTGAGACCATATGGGGTTCCAGATTCACCTGCGAGGGTTCTAATTCGACTGTAGGATCTAGCTGAGTGGCAGCAGGTTGACATGAGAATCGTTGTTCAAAATACTCGGCCTGGCAGTTGAGGTGTCCTCTGTTGAAAATGTTCATGCTGATTCAACCCCTAATAGTTTCACCCACAGGCTATTTCCGGGGACAATTCGTACAGAGCAACGCAAATAATCTTTGGTTATTCCAGCTTTCCTGAACCACTTGCATTTCTTTAAACTTCCGTGGTCTTCCAGGCTTAACGTTCGCAGCGCACGCTCACTTTTGCTTGGCGTCCGGTAGTTCCTCGAGCAAAGTGATAACCGAGACCGTTGGAGGGCTTTTTCCGAGATTCAAGCGGTGTCACTCTTCCATCAGATATCGATTGCTTGAGCAGATCTGATAGTGCCATTTCACTGGCAAAACTCGGTCTCCGTAAAGTTGTGGTCATCTTGTTACAGCACGTCCGATGATAGGGCAGTTGGAAGAGTGCGGAACATGATTTTGATAAATCCGTCTAACTTCGGGATCTGACAGTGTCTCAGTGGCTTGGCGATTTGTCTGCACCCTACGTGGCTTTTGGGAACGAAAAGCGAAGCGAGTACAGACAAGTGCCTGAGATCACTATCACCTATTCTTCCCAGTTGTCCGGAACAATCCCCTTTCCCCAAATATGGACAAACGCACCATACAAACACTGACTGAGGACTTCACCCTCATCTTTAAGCAATGTGGGTGGGAGTAATTTAGGACTGGGAACTTGGTGGACGTATGCAGCCATGGAATTCTGAGACCATATGGGGTTCCAGATTCACCTGCGAGGGTTCTAATTCGACTGTAGGATCTAGCTGAGTGGCAGCAGGTTGACATGAGAATCGTTGTTCAAAATACTCGGCCTGGCAGTTGAGGTGTCCTCTGTTGAAAATGTTCATGCTGATTCAACCCCTAATAGTTTCACCCACAGGCTATTTCCGGGGACAATTCGTACAGAGCAACGCAAATAATCTTTGGTTATTCCAGCTTTCCTGAACCACTTGCATTTCTTTAAACTTCCGTGGTCTTCCAGGCTTAACGTTCGCAGCGCACGCTCACTTTTGCTTGGCGTCCGGTAGTTCCTCGAGCAAAGTGATAACCGAGACCGTTGGAGGGCTTTTTCCGAGATTCAAGCGGTGTCACTCTTCCATCAGATATCGATTGCTTGAGCAGATCTGATAGTGCCATTTCACTGGCAAAACTCGGTCTCCGTAAAGTTGTGGTCATCTTGTTACAGCACGTCCGATGATAGGGCAGTTGGAAGAGTGCGGAACATGATTTTGATAAATCCGTCTAACTTCGGGATCTGACAGTGTCTCAGTGGCTTGGCGATTTGTCTGCACCCTACGTGGCTTTTGGGAACGAAAAGCGAAGCGAGTACAGACAAGTGCCTGATTGGAATCCACAAATGTGTTCCAAATCGAGTGGCAGTTAGTTATTGATGCGCTGCATCGGTAACTCATGGCGATGTGATCAATTTGGGTTCGTGGCTGGCACGCTGTTGGAGTACACCATGTGGCCAGACGATTTTGGTTGTTTCGAAAGTTAGTAGTGCATAAAACAGTCTGTGATCAGCACATAGCTGAAACACTTGTTCACCGTTATCCGATTATCCGAACGTACCGACTCCAACCCGTGTCAGTCGCCTAGGTGAGTCTCAGATGCGCTGATCCTGCTTGTTTGTGCATTCAGATCTCCGTCAACCACAACATTGCATTCAATGCATCGTAAAACTTGCCAGAGCTATAGTCGGTTGAGGCGTGAGCAAATACAACAAACGGACAACGGCCAACTACCTACTCGTGAAACTCGTTCATGGACGTTGCTAGACGAACCGCCCATAGGCGAGTATCAGCAGGTATTCAGTCAAGGATCCTTTGTTCTAGTGACTTTAGTACGGTACCATCCCCTGCACCTTCTGTCGCAGTGGTGTATGGATCGGCAGAGTCGTGTAGCCGTAATCGAATGGAAAGTGATGGGTCATTGAGCTCAACCATTGTACTTTTATCGTTTTTTTCTGATACACGGGATACAGCCCATCTGTTTGAATTGTCATGTGTCTTCATATGTTCACCAATAAACCTTGCAGAGACTTCAGCGTATTAGGCCATCCGTACCCGTTTTTTCTGTAGCGATCGTTAGCGGGCGGTTGGAGTTTGCTCACAGTCTTAGAAGATTCATGCGATCACAACCATTGTATGGGATGATAATTCTTTCATGCATTGTTAACATTCCATCCTCTCCATTTCTCGACGGTAACCAATTTCGTCCATTTCATCATCCAGTTCCATCAGTCAGCTCTTGATGATCCGCAGTAAACCAGGATATCTTGACCGACTAGTGGGACGTTTGACGGATCTTCGTCTTCAGGTAGAACGCGCCAAAGCGCGTGTTGCGGAAGCCCAATCGCGAATTGATGAAGCCACTGCAGAGCAAGAAATTCAGGCTGGTGCTCTTGTTCGGTATCGGTCTCGCTGCAAGCAGCTGGTCCAAATCGTGAGTCAGCCTCGCGTTTGCGTCCATCCCTTTCCGTTTATCACGTGATTTTACGACGACCGTTTCCGGGCAGCCATACCCATACTTCGACATAAGAGCTGTTTTTCTTAGTTAATGTCACGTTAACCTAATCACCCTGCCAATGATTCAAAATTTTCAACTCCACCCCTTATTTTAATCGATTACGGGCGATATTTCGGGAAGCTTCAAACCGATGAAGTTTCTGATTCAGTATCGTTTAGTACATTGGGATTTGCAGCCAGTTGTCGTGTCGTTGCTTGTATGAACCAAGCTATTGTGATCTGGGCAACTGTTCATACGCCTGGTTTTTGTGTGGGAGTTTCCTCAAAAATAACCTAATAATGACTCCAGTAACCTTTCCCCTTTAATGCGATTGAGGCTGGGACCCCCTGAAGGACGACCATCCTCAGAAGAGTCAAAAAATCTTTCGGTACGCGTGTGGTTATACTGAGGTATTATCCGTCTGCCCCGGCACCTGCCAACTCTATTTTGGTTTGTGTCACGCTACTATGTGTAATCAAGTAGTGTAAAGAAATTTTTCGACCCCGTGTGACCACCGTTGTTCGTGAATGGAAGAGCGAGACTTTACAAACTCTTTCACTCAACCCGACGTTTGCGTACACTCTGGTCCAATCAGCGTGCTGTTCAACTCCCATGATTAGCTGTCTCTCATTCGCCCTTGATACATGCATGCTTAGTACCACCCCAAGTATTCAACTGAGGCCAACAACGTTGTTCGTTGTGAGCTTACCCATTGTTAAGCCAAGTGTAGATTAATGACAGTCTGTTGTACGTGCGTGGTCTTTAGGTCATCATTAAAATTATCTAACCACTAATTGCACTATAGCCACTAAATTTGTGGATTTGTACACACATCAGTGGGTTTTCTTTGTAGTTGATTGACAACCATACCTCTAGGCAACTGTATTAACTATCCACAGGGAATTTAAACAAAATAGTCTTGATCAATTAGTTATGTAGTAAACGTTGTGTCAGGAGATACGCTCGTTGTGACGCGATTTTCACAGGGTCTAAATAATCGTCTGGTGGACCAGCGCGTACGTTTATTGCACTGCCGGGTCATTCCCCAGTCTCTTCAGTGAACGGACCAGTGTAGTATCCCGAGATGGCAGTTCCCCCAAAACATCCGATTTTTGCTTCGCGATTGTGTGCGCCTACTGTAATCTCAACTTGAACACTGACTTTTGTCTTTACCTACGTCTCGCTTCTGTTCTCTACAGCTGGAAACCGAACTCACCAAAATATGCAATCGACAAATTCAAATTATCGGTCAAGTGCTCGATATGTGATGTTTGATTCCTACTTTACCTACTGCTTTGTCTTACTTTTCTTACTTTTCGGTGAATTTGGTCCTTGTCACCTTGTTTGTTTGTGTGTGAATACACCTCGTAATGCATTGTGCCATCTTGACAGTTGTCCTGTTTCCTATTCATTTCAGTGGATAACTAGGTACTGGGATCGATGACAGATCCCTCAGTGCTGTTAAACTAATAGGCTATCACCGTCGTTCTCCACAACACGTTTATTTGAACCGGTACTCACCCACCGGAACGCATATATGACTCTAAACTCGCATTTGTCATTCGTCCGCATCTCCAAGCCTCATAATCTCCATTTGTTCGCGAACCCTTAATGTCCCCGAGGTCTTGACGACCCGCTTTCCAATTTGGCACAGCAGGAAATAAAGCCACCGGGTCGCCAATATGCCTTTTGCTCTCGGTATACGTGAAATGGTTTGTTGTATACTTATGGATATCCACCCCGACATAAAGCTGTCGCCTTGTCCGGCTGGTCGGGATTCTATCCTGCACTGCTCCTGTGAGCTATACTGGCTGGAGCTCAGTTCCTAAAGATTCAGCCATGCCAGGAAGGCCAACGCGAAGCAGTCGGGCGAAGAACAGCGAGTCTACGTACTGCGAGTAATTGTAGTACGAGGTGGTCTGGAGATAAAATTAGATTCAGCCATGCCAGGAAGGCCAACGCGGAGCAGTCGGGCGAAGAACAGCGAGTCTCCGTACTGCGAGTAAATGTAGTACGAGGTGGTCTGGAGATAAAATCGTGCTATCCTCTGTGAAGATAGTAAGGCGTTTCCTCCAGGCGACCAGTATGTCCATATTTATGGAAGTAGCGATGCTGCCTTTACCCGAGGAAATTCAGGTTAGAAAAGGTCGGCCTCAAAAGCCGCACATTCCGATCGCCGGATCGTTAACCAGCTCATTATTCATTACGGTCGAAATACTGTTGAAACCTAGGAGTCTGTCAAATGGATCTGCCCGCTCAGGCCATGTTGTGCAACCATACCGTAGCCGTCATACACGCGTCACTTGAGACCCAGTGATGTCTTTTTGGCTCCACAGGTGACGCAAACTAGCAAACGTGATTCGGTCCTTTGAGATTCGTGTACTGACTTCCACCATAGCTAATACAACTGCCGAGGCATGTACAGCTCTCCACAACCTCCGGTGCTTTTTGACTTGCAACGGGCCTGTTCAGAGATTGCACCCCCTGGAGCATGGGTTTGCACTTTCTGGGTGCAAGGTGCATGCCAAAATATTATATGATGTTGGCCAGTTCACTCAAAAGCGATTGCGCTTTCTCTTCATCTTCAAAAACCAAGACATTGTCTGCGTACTCCAGGTTGACAAACATTTCACTATTCGAACACGAGAGTTTTGAGGACTCCAGACTTTGCCTAGTTATTTCATGGATGATTAAGTTGAACAAAAATGCAAACAGTGGACATCCTTGTCATACATCTTTTTTGTCGGGGAGGGGGGGCCTTTTGAGAGATCCCCATACATATAACTGCGACATCTCCTGTCGAGCAAGCGTTACTAAAATGACTGAGCGATCCACAGAATCGAATAAACCCTTGAAGTCAAGGAAGGCTAAGATTGTGGATCGTTTGTACAATGGCGTTGCTGTAACGCATGACAGAGTGTAAAGATGTGGTCGATACAGCTTCTCTACGGTCCACGATTGTCGATTATATGTTGAGGTTTCACATACCGCCTATGAAGAATCAGTGACGCCAGAAGCTTTGTTTAACGGGGATCAAGCTAACCCTGTGAGTATCCTTTTTGAACATGAGCACCATTATCGACTGATCCCGGTCGTCTGGGATGGTCTTTTTTGCCCAGATAGACAGGCACGGACTTTGAACAATGTAGTTACAAATTTGTACGGACCAGGAGTAGGGTGACCTTTGAGGCTGAAGAGGACTGTATATTCACAGCCCAGACGGGAAGTAGCGAATGGCCAACTGGATTGTTGCCCGGATTGTTCTTTCCAGCACGTTATTTGCTACATAACAGAGAGCCATTATGGTCCTTGATGGTTTCAGTGACAAGAAGACCTGTTAGACTAATCTCCATCATTTCGCGCTCCTTCCGTTTCGTCAAAATTCTGGAAACACCCAGTTTTGCCATCTGCGCTAATACTCAATTTTACACGTCGGACAATCCTTCGAATTGAGTTGCGGTTGCGGTCAAAGGGAATCTGTCGCCAAGCCTTCAGCGAAGCCGCGGTTCTATCAGAGATCCGATGTTTGGAAGAGGGCTGGGCTGTACCCCAGCCAGAAGTTTCGGCATTAAGTGCAACTTTGGATATCTCCAATGTCCGTTGACATTCGATTTCTTACCAATAGGCAGGCGCTGGAGGAGTCACTTCTGATAAGTTGGTTTGATTTCTAAATGAATGAGCTTCTCAATGGCTAAGTTAGGTGTACGTTTTGTGAGCATAGTGAAAAGTAGCAACGGACAAGCGCTTGACCGGATTCCACACAATAATAAGGAAAAAGCAGCAGGCAGCGATCGATCCACGCCACCAAGTAAGGCCTTCGGCTCAATAGCCTGACTACAAGGCCGCCAGTGAATACCGGCGTACTGCCATCGTAGAATACGTTCTCAAGGAGAAAATCGCCATGCATTTTCCAACACCCAAACTGCGGGACTAAGATACTGTTCGTGATACTTCAACCCATTAATCAATTTGTCTTGAGAACCTGGGCTCCTGGAGATCGGTCAAAAGAACTCGCTCATGACTGGTCCACTAATTGGTGTTGGTCGATCTTTATGTGCTACTGACCAAAATGAAGTGTTACAAATTGGGTAATCAGAACTAAAGTTCACCTTCAGTGAGAAGCTCAGTTGCCTGGATAGAAAATGGTTTCTTATCATTACTGGCTGATAGTGTTATTAACTTGCAAAGCGCTGGTCTTATCTAAGATTCTGACCTGGTAGCTCTACATCCATTTTCGAAAAGTTGCTCCACTTCTGTATGCCGTAGTTCAGGGTTTATAGTTTTTCCTGGGGTGTGGCCTATTTCCGCGCTCGGTGCTGCATTCTACCTCTACATCTTTTGAATGATGGCCATGCCTCTTTCTTACCTTTCCTCACCTACAGCCTGGAATTTTCAGGTGTACATTGAATCCGTAACTTATTCCCTTCCTGTCGTTCAGCTAAATAACTGCATTATCATCGTTAATAGCCTTCTCGCGTCGCCTCACTTATGCAGTGTTTGTATATGAGGTCAGGCACTAAATTATTCGCTACTGTAGGCGATATTGTACATATCCTGCAGCAGAATATTCTTTGCACGGTATCTGTATGTTACGTTGCTTTAATAGCACTTGGTAGGGTTCCTCTCCAGAATATTCCGCCACTGTCATAATGTGCTCTACTATTTTGCCGTTTGACTCGCTGTGATATGGGTTCGCAGTACGGTGCTCCAATCCCCATTTCTGGCTGACTGCTGGTAAACTGCGGTACGTTATCCGATAATAAAAGTAATTCATGTATTTCATGCCTGAAGATGCATATGATGGACTACAGGTGCTGTGCTGACGAGTGAGTTGTTCGGCCTGGAAATAATTCGTAGTAGTCAACTATCGCGAGGTATTGTTCCAAACTGGGAAAGCAAATCCGGGACAACCAATTGCCTTAGACAAGTTGGCACCTCTCGCAGAAGCATCCGTCGTACATTCCGCGCGGACTACACCTCTTCACATACTTTTCAACTTCACTTGTCATTCGTGATCAATAAAACAGCTTCCCTTCCCTTCTAATGAACTGTTGTGGATGATCTCAACACTGGCAGCAGTTCCATTAGATCAGCCAAATGGAACAGAAAGCGACTTCCACTTAGCTTTGCTATTGACCTCTCACCCGGAGGTTGCATTGATGAGACTGCCCCGACTTCCCCTAGGTCTGCTTTTAAACCGTCTTCTGTGAGTACGTTTCCATGTGATGTGACAGAGTTAACCCAATGGTAAACTTTCTCCTGTGTTAGCAGTATACCCTGTTTAATGCAATGTTTGAAAATTGCTTCAAGTTCTTCAACTGTTCAACCCTATGTAAGAACGTTATTGACTGTGAATATTGTTTCTTAAAGTCAGTCGACGGCCTGGGAAAGATGGTGTGGTTCTCAGGAAACCCTGAAGCCAAACAGTGAAGGAAATCGACCAAACGTATCCTCAACGTCGTTAGGTGGCTGGACCTAGTGTTCAACTTAAGCTGTCACATTGGCGTAGAAAGTTTACCTTGGTAAAGAACTTGTCCTTCTTGGGTTCCACCGGATAATCATCCAGCGGAGAAATGCGGTGTTTTCTTAGTAACCTAGCTTTCGAGGCATTGGGGTGCATAATCGGATTTCTCCTGATTTTTTTAAATTGTCGCAATTTGTCTGACCTAGTCTGTAGGCCAATCTACTTTCACAATAGCCTTTAATCCAACCAGGTGGTCTTATTCAAGTTCTGAGACCATCGCGACGGTATTGGAATTCCTCTTGCCGGCGACGTAACAGGAATGGCACTACCCCTCAGGGACAAATTAATTTTTTTGGGAAACATAGTGGAGCGAAAATCAAGGCATAAATTTCTAAACCAGTAGGTCAGCCAACCAAGTGAACAAAATCCCCATTACTCTTGGTAATGAGACTCAGCTTCCGGATCTCTGTGAGCCGGATGATTGGAATCGAACTCGTCTAACACCATAATTAATTCAAGATTGTGAACGTCACCATCAACCGAATTCGTTAAATCCAGCTGTACTTCGCCCTTCGGCGTGGTCCTTACTCCGATCTATATTCACAACGTGGTTGTGGAGCCTCCAACGGGTATATCATTAAAATTGTCCTATGGGATTATGCGTCCCCTTGCTCCGAAGTTCATCTGGAATTTGTGTCGCGCTCCTATATCATACCAGAAAGCTTTCCTACCGCAGTACTCTCGGACGCTATTAAGTGCTGTTCATCTTTGGTCTATGAAACACAGCGGAAAACGAACGGCTCTTCTTGACACTTTCTGCCAACCATGCCAGGCCGGCTACTTCCTTCTGTTGGGCTCATGTTTCACCTCATAGAATATACAAATGCTTGAGGTTGTTCGGATCAAAACATTTTGGTCTAATCCATGTTGTTCTGATGCTAACTCGTGCTTTCTGCAAATTCTTCACTGCGAGAGGTCCAGCTGTTGGCAGTTCCTAATGTCGTCGACAATCCGCGGTATAGTGGAATCCAAAGTGAGATTGTCCTTCATATAACCACAGAAATTGCACGATTTCGCCAGTTCTTGTGGGTAAGCAATCTATTTTTGCTGGATTAACCAACTAACCAGTTCCGCTTGAACGACTGGAACTTTGT